AAGGAGTCTTCTTGTGGAGTTTTTGGGGTTTTCCATGTAAAGTGTCATGTCATCTGCAAAGAGTGACAGTTTTACTTCTTCCTTTCCTAGCCTTATTCCTTTTATTTCTCTTTCTTGTCTAATTGCTCTGGTTAATGCTTCCAGAACTATGTTGAATATCAGTGGTGACAGTGGACATCCTTGTCTTGTTCCTGATTTTAAAATAAAAGCTTTCAGTTTTTGTCCATTTAGTATGATGTTTGTCATAGATGGCTTTGATCAGATTGAGGTAAAGGCCATCTATTCCTATTTTCTGTAGGGTTTTTATCATGAATTAATGTTGGACTTTGTCAAAAGCTTTTTCTGCATCTATTGAGAAGATCATGTGGTTTTTGTCTTTGGCTCTATTGATATGGTGTACAGCATTAATTGATTTGCAAATATTGAACCATCCCTGCATTCCTGGAATGAATCTGTCTCGGTCATGATGTATGATTTTCTTGATGATTTGCTGCATTCTATTTGCTAGTATTTTATTAAGTATCTTTGCATCTATATTCATTAGGGAGATTGGTCTGTAGTTCTCTTTCTTGGTTGAGTCTTTCTCTGATTTTGGTATTAGTATGATACTTGCCTCCAGAAATGAGTTAGGGAGAGTTGCTTCCTTTTCAATTTCATTGAAGAGTTTGAGGAGTGTTGGTATTAAATCTTCTCCAATTTCTTGGAAAATTCTGCTGTGAATCCATCAGGGCCTAGGCTTTTCTTTGTTGGTAAGTTTTTAATCACGTTTTCAATCTCATTAATTGATATTGGGTTGTTCAGGAATTTTATATCTTCTTGATTCAACTTTAGTAATTTGTACATGTCTAGGAATCTGTCCATTTTTTCTGAGTTTTCTATCTTATCAGAGTAAAGATTTTCAAAGTAGGTATTAATGACCTTTTGAATTTCTGTAGTATCTGTAGTGATTTCATCCTTTTCATTCCTTATTGCATGAATATGAATTTTTTCCTTTTTTTTGGTAAGGTTGGCTAGGGGGTTATCAATTTTATTTATTCTTTCAAAGAGCCAACTATTTGATTCATTTATGTTTTGGAGGGTTTTTTTTGTCTCAGTTGCATTAATTTCTGCCCTGATCTTTATAATCTCCTCCCTTCTTTGAGCTTTGGGCTTGACCTGTTCTTCTTTTTCTAAAAGTTTAAGATGCAACATTAGGCTATTTATTTGTTCTCTTTCTGTTTTCCTTATGTGTGAGTTCACTGCTGTAAATTTCCCTCTGAGGACTGCTTTCATTGCATTCCACAGATTCCAGTAAGTAGTATCTATATTTTTGTTAGTTTGTAGGTATTTTTTAATTTTCTTTAATTTCTTCTGTGACCCATTGGTTGTTCAGGAGGTTGTTATTTAATTTCCAATTGTTTATGGAGTTTTTGAAGTTCTTTTGTCATTAATTTCCAATTTCATTGCCCTATGGTCAGATAATATGCATGAGATAATTTCACTTGTTTTGCATTTAGGTAGGTATGCTCTGTGGGTTAGAATATGGTCTATTTTAGAGAAAGTACCATGTGCAGCTGAGAAAAATGTGTATTCTGATGTTGTTGGGTGGAACACTCTGTATACATCTAATAAGTCCATTTGTTCACAAATTTGGTTCAGCTCTGTTATTTCTTCACTAATTTTCTGCCTAGTTGACCTATCTCTTTGTGTCAAAGGGGTGTTGAGGTCCCCTATTACAATAGTGTTATTAATTATTTGAGTTTTCATGTCTGTTAAGATTTGTCTTATATAGTTTGGTGCTCTGATATTTGGTGCATACATTTTTATGACTGCTATCTCTTCCTCTTGCAGTTTTCCCCTAGCAAGTATGTAGTGACCTTCTTTATCTCTTTTGATTGTTCTCGGTTTGAGGTTTACATTGTCTGCAAACATAACAGCTACACCTTCCTTTTTCTCGGTTCCTGTTGCATGGAGAATTATTTTCCACCCTTTGACTTTCAGTCTATGGATTTCCTTTTGAGTAAAATGTGTTTCTTGTATACAGCACATCATTGGATTTTGTTTCTTAATCCACCCTGCCAGTCTGTTTCTTTTGACTGGTGAATTGAGGCCATTTACATTTATGGTTATAACTGATATGTGTTGATTTATCATTGTCATATTATTTATTTGCTATTGGTTTCCTACTTTTTCTACCTGTTTTATTGCTTCTTCTGCTTAAGGGTTCCTTTCTATTGTTGTTCTTGAAATTGCAGTTATTTTTTTTCCTCTGTCTAGAAGATCTTTTAGTGCTTTTGTAAGGTTGGTTTGGCACTCATGAAGTTTTTCAGTTGTTCTTTGTCGTGGAAATATTTTATTTCTCTGTTGAATTTGAAGGATAGTTCGGCAGGATATATCAGTCTTGATTGAAAGCTGTTTTGCCTCAGGACCTGTAATACTTCACTCCAAGCTCTTCTTGATTGGATGGTTTGTGTTGAGAAATCTGCTGTGATTCTAATGGGCTTTCCTTTATAGATAATCTGTTTCTTTTCTCTAGCAGCTTTTAAGATTCTGTTCTTTTGCTGGAAATCTAGGATCTTGATTATTATATGTCTGAGTGTAGTTTTATTTTGGTTATGACTAGTTGGAGTTCTATATGCCCCATTTACCTGTATATCAGATTCTGTTTCCATGCTTGGGAAATTTTCTGCTATTATTTCTGCAAATATTCTTTTTATGCCATTTATGTTGTTTCCTGCCATTTCATTGACTCCTATTAGTCTTACATTAATCCTCTTTGCCTCATCTTGCAGCTGTTGAATTGATTTTTCCTGGTTCCTTGTTGATTTTAAGAGATCCTTTCTTTAATGATCACTAGGTGCCATGCTGTCTTCAAAATCCGAAATTCTATCTTCAGCTTCATTCAAGCAGTTTTGCCAACTTTCAGTGGGAACTTTGATTTCCTGGGTGTCTCTCTGAATCTGTTTCATGTGTTCTAGTTCATTCCTATATTGTTCATTTAATGATTCCATCCATTGCCTATGTTCACTTATTTTTATATATATATTTCTTCTTTAGATGTGCTGAGCAATTCTTTCATTATTACTGTCATTTCATTTTTTTTACCTGAGAGATTATTTCTGACCTGATCTCTTCTATGGCCTGATGGAGTTGTTTCTTTACTTCCATTGCAATCATTTCAGCAATTTCAGGTGTGTGTTTGCCAAGTTCTCCTGTGTCAATGTCTCCTGGGCTTGTTCTGAGTGAGGTGGATGCCTGAGATTGCATTTTAGTCCTTTGTCTTGTCATGTTTGATGCTGGAGGGAAAACATTCAGTCTCCCTCTTTCCTGGCAGCTCAGCAAAAGTCACTAGTTTTCCTGGTGGTCAGGCTTGCCCCTCAGTGTCTGCTGAGATGCACTGCTTAGTCTGGGGTTTTCTGGCAGATGGTGAAGTATACCTAGTTCTCCCAGGTCTCAGACATGATCTGTGATGTCAGCCGATGGCACACCGCCTGATCCAGCATCCCCTCACAGCTCAGGGCATGCGTGTGACCCAGAAGTGGGCTGCACTGGTGGCACAATCATGGACTAGTGGTCCTGTGTCCCCCAGCAGTTCAGGGCACAGGCAGAACCCAGATACAAATCGTAGGGTCAACAGTTTGTGGACCACTTGATTCTGTGTCTCCAGGCAGCTCAAGGCATGCACAGGAGCCACATGTGGGCTGCACTTGAGGTGATCATGGACCGCCTGTGTCTGTGACCTCCAGGAGGTCAGGGCACAAGCAGAACCCAGATGCAAATTGTGGTGCCAGCAGTTCATGGACTGCCTGCTCTAGTACCTCAGGTGGCACAGGGCCCATGCAGGGAGGGCCCAAATGTGAACCCTAGTGTTAGCAGTTCGTGGGCCTTCTGAGTGAAGATCTCTTGTCTGCACCAGGCACATGGAGGGTGGAGACTCAGACTGTAGTGGCAGCGGGGTCATGGGTTGCCTGCTCTGCCCCCAGGAAGTGGATGGGAAATACCTGGTTCTCTCAGCATTCAGCTGCAAACCATGATGTCAGCAGATCGAGGACTACCTGATTCTGTGTCTGCAGGCAGCTCAGCCTATTTCTTAATATAGGGTTTTCAAGAGGGAGTAAATGAAAATTGCATGTGGGAGATCAAATTTTACTTTTTTTTAACTTTCTTTTTTTTCTCTTCCATATTGCCTAAGGTAGTGTAAAGTTTGAAAAAACAAACAAAAGAAACCCCCCAAAACCATCTAGTTTCAGGGCCATAGTTCAACCACCTGCCTGTAAACCAACATGATGGGGGGAAATCCTTGAGTTGACTTGTGTATTCACAAGGAGCCTCTGTGCCATGGATGGTTTATACCTTAGAGCCAGGCAGAGAACCCTGGGCCCATGCAGTATTGGTTCCTGGGAGGGATCATGATTTAGTGGTAGTGGTGGTGGGAAATGAGACTGTCTGTTAGGGTTTAATAAAGCATGGCCATAAGATTGGGGTTTGAAACACAAAACAGTTTAGCAAACCAAATTAAAGCTTACCAGCAATTGAAGGTCTTGTAGGATATTAATGGGAAGATTGGTATTTTAGAAATATGTTTGTATCTCTTACAATTATATTCAAACAAGAAAAGACCATCGATATATCCTTTCTTTTCCTGCTCTGGAATTTTCCTCAAAACCTTGTGTTGCCTACTCAATTAAAATTCCTCAGCCTGCTATTAGAAGGATCCTGACCTAAGACCAACTGGATCTGAATTTTAAACTTTTGAAATTCTGTTTTAGGTTCTTAAAATTTTCCAGGTGATTTCAGTGGACAATCAAGGTTGAAACACGCTTGGGTTACAGTACAAATGGGGAGATACAACTAGGGCATTTGGATTATTTATTGTGGAAAGCCAAGGTCAGAAATTGAAGTTTTCCTGAGCCTCAGATATGATGAGTCTATGTTGTGTGCCTATGTGGGTGTGAACATGTGTACATGTGTGTTTGTATACATGTGTGGTTTGCCTTACTTCTTCCTGCTCTGCCATTCAGGTGACCGCTGTGCGGGTGTACGTGAACAGTTCCTCTGAGAACCTTGACTACCCAGTCCTTGTTGTAGTTCGCCAGCAGAAAGAGGTGCTGTCCTGGCAGGTTCCTCTGCTCTTCCAAGGGCTGTAAGTGATCTTTTACCAAGTAGCTTTACTGGTTTACATCTGCATTTCTTAAGGGTCCTAGACCAGCCAGGCATGGTGATACCTAGCTATAATCCTAGTAGTCTGGGAAATTGATGTGGGGGGATTCCAAGTTCCAGCCCAGTCTAGGCAATTTAACAACTTAGTGAGACTTTCCTTCAAAATAAAAAGTAAAAATGTGCTGTGGACGTAGCTCAGTGAACACCCCTAGTTTCAGTCCCCAGCACTGAAAAAAAAAGTCCTAAATGGTAATTCTATAATTGGTTTTTTTCCCCAGTGAAAGAAAAAATCAGACATGGGAATGTTGATCTGTTATACATGTTAGGTGTAGACAGTTGTCATGGTGCATATCCTGATCTATTCATCTCTGCTCAATTTCCATCCTAATTGAATTCCAAAATGTTTATCACTTTAAAAATCTATGATAATGCTCAGTAGCTCATGGTTGGATAAGGGATCATCCAGTAACCACTCACAATGCCAGGTCCCGCAGTCAACCTAAGTGAACAACTCTTCCCCCATGCAAATGCCCACCATGTGTGCACCTTAATTCAACAACATTCACAGAGCATTAGTAAGAGGTAAGTGTGGAGGATACAGCAGTACGAGAAAAGTTCCAAGCCTCATGCAATTTACATGTCTGCAGGAGAAAACTATATAAGACACCATCACACTGATAAGAAAAGGCCCAGAAGGCATACAGAAATGGGCACCTAGTATGATATGACATCATTTTTAAAGGTTTGGAATTTCTAGGATTAAAATAGCTTTGCCTTAGACCCAGGGATTTCTTTACATGCTATTTTAGTGGAAGTTTGAAGGGCAGAAAAATTGAATGACCTAGTTGTTTTATGACGATATAGTGGAATGTAGACACTGCCCGGTCAGCACAGGACACTCTTCATGTCCCTATCACTAGTCACGCAGCACCATGCCAACAGTACTAGTCCTGAAATTGCTACCGGTAGGTCCAGTCTGCAACTGAAAGCATGAAGGCTTGAAAGCAGACTTGAAGAGAAGTAAAGTGAGGTAGCTTCTGCTCACACCTGCTGGTTCAGAGTCTCTTTCTTGTTCTTGCCAATATTGGCTTTGGCTGCTACAGATACCAGAGAAGCTACAGCTACCAGGAAGTCAGCCGCACTTTATGTCCTTCAAAAGCAACCAATGAAACAGGACCTTTGGAGCAGCTCATATTTGTAGACATAGCATCCATGGCACCACTTGGTGCCCCGTACAAACTGCTGGTCACCAAGATCAAGCACTTCCAGCTCTGGTAAGCAGAACTCACGTGGCCTTTCTCTGTTTGCTTGTCCGCTCTTCCTGTGTGTAGGTGCTGCAGTCGGCTTCCACCCCTACACATCAGCACTCAAGGGCACTGCCCACTTAGCGTAACACTCCAGCGCCTCCAGAACTCTGATGCACAGCAAGACCTTACTCAGTGCAAGAGGGAGGCAGCAGGGAACTGGTGGGAGGAGCAGTGGACTTCTTTGTACCACTCTACTTGGAGGAATCTGCAACTCATACTTTTGTGGGATAATCACTGCACACTCCTCAAGGAAATTTTTGTTTTTGTTTTAAGGAAGACTTTACACTATTTTTCATATCTTTATCACTATTTTTGTTTTCCCCTTCTGGTTTAGGAATGTTGATAGAAATGTGTCTTTGTCCTTCTCCGGGGTCACCAGGATTATTTTGTCCTTGTCTTTTAAGCATAAGGCAACCCCACTGAGAAAAAAATAAGCATAAATCTTAGACATTCACTAAAGAAACTCCCCAAATGGAAAATAAACACAACTTATTAGCTGTCTGAAATGTAAATTAAAATCATAATGAAATTTCATTTGAACTCTTGAAGCACAGGGAAGGAGGTAGGATAGAAGAAATAAAGATAGGTAGGAAAGAGACAAGGAAAATTGTAATTTAAAAATTATTGTAAGAACCCTGCAACTTCAGGACACAAAGTTACACAAGCTTCTCCATATTGGTATTCCCTAGGCCATGTGTGCAAACCTATGACAGCATGTGTGTTTTTCTTTTAAGACAAAAGTTGCTAATGCGTGAGTTGTTTTTTCTAAACTAAAACCTCAATATTCAGGTTTAACACAGTGTTGGCATTTTGCAATAAATAAGTGCGTTTGGGGTTACAGTGGGCGTTCATTTCTAAAGAGTTCACCATCTCTGCTCTAGGCTCATTTATGCTTCTTTTCTTCCAAACCAGTCACATTCAGTATCCTTAAAGAAACTACAAGTCCATAAATTAGCATAGTTGGTAAGGTAAAGGGCAGAAACCTAACCTTAAGATAAACACATTCAAAGGCTTCAAAGAATGTTTTTTAGGGAAATCGGTCACCCACCTTAAAAAAAAGTACGGTAAATTCAGCCTGTGCCTTTCTCCTGTAAAGTGAGCCATTATCTTTCTACCTGTGGGTGGGCCATTGCTTTTTTCCATAAACCAAGCATGGATTTTATATAGATTCACAAATTTCATAGATTTCCACTGCCAAAAACACATTAACATTCCCAGCTCCAGCCTATAAGCTCCTCTCTCCCTGTTGAGGGTTCACAGTCTATTTCTTTGAGTGTGTACTTTTAATATTCTGCCTAATAAATCTCTCTATGCCTTTTAAACACACACACACACAAACACATACACAACCAATGTGCTATATGTACTTTGAAAGGCCTCACAAAGCAGTGTCAGTCCCAGTTGTGATATGCATTCAATGGGTATTCAATAAAAATGAACAAACTATTGCTATACTTACCAACATAGATAAATCTCACAGTGTTAAGCAAAAGTAGCCAGCCAAAAGGAATAGGTGCTATTTAATTTCATTTGCATGAAGTTTATCAAAAGGCAAAGCTATTCTGTAATATTAAGAGACAAAGTAGTGATAGCTAACTTGGGCCCGATGGTGCATGCCTGTAATCCCAGCACTCGGGAGGCTGAGGCAGGAGGATTGTTGGGAGTTTGAGACCAGCCTGGGCTACAAAGTTAGCTCAAGGCCAGCCTGAACTGCATAGTGAGACTCTTCTCAAAAAAGACAAAAAAAAGTGATGTCTGTGAGTAGGAAATAAGAAGTACTTTGCTCTGTTTACCTCATGAAAGTACACTCCAATAAATGTTTATAACGTGTGCTTTACTGTATGTTTGTTATATTTAAATAAAGTTAATTGAAAAAATCAGAATATTTAAAATACTATGTGGTACCTTGTTTTCAGCTTATTTTTCTGATCAGTATGTTCTATTCTGTTATAAAGCCCTCTTTAAATTTCCTAAGGCAATTTATAAAGAGGTCTATAGCCAGTGGAGTTGCTAAGAGAAATCAAATAATTATCTTGGTTTTCTCTACACCCTTTGGCATCATAGACACCCACAGAAACAGATGGATAAATGGCTGCCTGAGTGCTCAGAAAGTTGGAGAAGTAGCCACAGCCATTAGTTCCAAGTCCCTCCCTTTAATTCTGCTACTGAAAAAGGTGATGTGATAATTTTAAGAACCATGATCACTTCCTTCCCACCTCTCTCTCCAAAAACAATTAAAAACATATTCTTTGGTAGATAAGACCCACCCAGATTAATTCAATCAGGGTCTCTAGAGGGGAGATTTGAGTACTTTATATTTTTAAATTCCCTGGGTGATTCTACTGTTTAGCCAGAGTCCTCCTAAAGCAATCTGTAAACATGATGATTAAGTTTATTATTTTAAAATACATTTATCATATTAAATCATACGAGAATCAGTGATTATGCATTTGGTGGGGGCGTTGGTATCTTATTTGAACAGAGTTCAGTTGAAGCTTCAGAGAAGCACTGACTTTATTCACTGGTCTCCCTGTCCTTAACCTGTCACTATCACCTGGTCTCAGTGCACTTGAAAATTGTAGGGCTGGATTTTTAAGAGATAATTCAATCCTTGGAAGAAGGAAACTGTGAACCTGTAGTCATAAGGTTGCAACTCTGTGCAAGTGTTAGTGAATGGTCGCCATCTATGCTGGCGAAACTGCAAATCTATTCTGTCACGTGGTTTTCTGTGTCTGCCTCTTCTCATATGACTTAGCCTCAGCAGACAGACACTGAAAGCATTTCAGAATGCACACAGTGACTAGGGCTCTTAGGTCACCAAGCTAAGCCTCAGAAACAGCAGTAGCTGAAATGTACACATCTCTTCCTCCTTGCTTTGCTGTTACTTGCTGTCCAGCAGCATCTATATCCGATGACCTAGAAATCCAGAAGAGAATGATCACAGAGCAGAGCTGAAGACTGTAAGAAATGGACTCCAGGTATTAAGAGAAACACTGAAGAATTAACTCAAAATCCATAATATTGCATTTTCCGTCATCTATTTTCAAGTGGCAGAGTAGAGCATATGTGGAACGCATTCTGGAATTCTCTTTTTTTTTTTTTTTTTCTAAAATCAAACATTTTAAGAATTGAAGGACTTTGAGGAATGTAATCCACCTATCTCATTTTTACAAATGAGACATCTGGTGTTGAGAGATGTTAGGTGACTTGTCCCAGCTCTTACTGCTAGGAAAGGGCAAAGTCAAGATAAATTCAACCTCAGTTCCAAGCTCTTCTCACCATAGCATTCTAGGTCTATTTTCTGCTTAAAACTGTCCTTGCTATTTTTATGCTCCCCTGAATGTTTCTCATTCCTACAAAGCACTTATTTATAGAACTCCAGCTTTAAAAATGAAACAACTCTGCCTTAAAACAGTACTTCTTGCCATCTACCTACCCACCCCTCCACACACGTGTACAGCTCTGCCACTGCTCATTTCCAGGAGCTCTGTTCAGAGTGGCAAGAATGTGCAGTTGCAGGCAGAGAACAGCAAGGGCTGTTGGAGCAGGAGCGCCTGATCACAGGGTGGGAGAAGCATGGAAGAGGTATTGAGACATTTACAGTTGTCTACATCATGACAGAGAATGGGTTTGAAGGAGACAAGCCTAGATGCACAGAAGTTAGAAGGTGGATGCAGTGGTCAGAATAAATAAAGTGAGAAAGTGACTTGAAGAATTTAGAAGGTGAAATCGACAACTTGACCAGATGTGAGGGGAAGAAAAGCAGGAGAATCAAGAATGATGCTGTAACTTATACATGGTGTCACTAAGAGAAAATGAAAATTTTAACGAGGGGAGGAAGAAGTGATAATATTACCTTTGGACGTGTCGACTTTGGAGTACAGAAGTCTAGCAAAGTGCTGTGTGTGTGCCAGTGAGATGGTCAAGGATGAGCTCTGAGTTACTGAGTGCATAGAAACACTGCAGGAAGGCTGCTCCACTGGACCCGGGTGCAGTTAAGGAGATAGGGCTGGAGACATGGGCTGTACCCAACCATGATCTGTACTTTCATTTTCTTTTGTCTTTTTAAGGCAGGGTTTCACTATGCAGTCCAAGCTGATCTGGAGCTCACTTTGTAGCCCAGGCTGGCCTCAAACTCACAGTGATCCTCCTGCCTCAGCCTCCCAAGTGCTGGGATTACAGGCATGCACCACCACATCTGGCCTGATCTGTATAATATTGAATGCTGGACCAGGGAGTTGGGACTCTACCTTCCATGTTATGGGAGCCTCTAAAGGATTTTACAGAGCAGAATAAAAGGAACAGATCAGATTTTAGAGATGACCATAGTGAATGTGGAAGACGACTTGGGAGTAGAGGAAGATGATTTTGGAGCAGAGGCATTTGAACAAATAGAAAGTTATTTGAATGGAGAAAAAATTTAAATGATTAGAACCTGAACATAATGAAAGCAACAAAGTTGTAAGGAAGAAAAGAGTCAATATACATGAGGATAATTTACAAATTCAACAATATAATGTGGCAGAATAAGAATTATAGTCCTGGGTTAATACTTGCAAGTTTTGATCCTCTTCTAGCCTTCTAAGTAGTGATCTTGAGACTTTTACTTTTAATTTTTTTATCAGAGAAAATATGCAATGAGATAGCACAGCTACCATACTATGAAAAGTAGAGTTCTTGAAGAAATAGATTAGATAAGGCATTTAAATAATTTTGCTGTTCATCTTACTATGTAATCATCCCTTGGGATTTTGGGGGTGACTACAGTAAAGATCTATATTACTTTTTTCTTACTGATAACTTTTTTCTTACTTACTTAGGCAAAGATAGTGCTTTGGATAGGGACAGATCGATCCAGGCTCCTTTTATACTGATAGAATGAGAAGGACATGGAGATCGATCATCTATGGAAGGTGGTTGAAAGGGAGGAGTCTGGAATGACTCCTGCAGTGATGCTGGAGGTCTGGTGAGGATCACTGTGAAGAAGACATAATGGATCAGGATTAGGAAATGACAGTGCATTTCATCATGAGCATGTGGAGTTTAAGGGATCTGAAGGGTGGGCAAGTGCAGAAGCCCAGTGGAAGGTCTCTCTTCTGTCACTGGAGCCCAGGAGATGACCCTGAGCTGAACCTAGAGATGTAACAGTCACCTATGTTTTTGTACAAATTCATTTATGGCAAATGAATTTGTATGCATTCGTGCAAGCATGTGGCTAAAGAAAATGAGAAGACCGAAACTAGTGCTGTGGGTAACAGTCTCATTTAAGGGGTGGTTTGAGAAACAAAAGCTATGAGAAGAAGTTGAGTAGGAACAGCCAGGTATGTGGGAGAACACACAGAAGAAACAAAGATCATATCAGCAAGAGGAGGAAAGTATTTCAAGAAGTGATTGCCAAATGTCAAATGTCACAGACAGGTAAAGATAGTTGTGGATGAAGTCACCGAATTTAGTGACTAGAAGATCCTGTGGTCTGCAGGCTTGTGAACTCCAGATCAATATGTTCAAATCCTAAAACCCAAGGTGATGGTACTTGGAGATAGGGCTCTGGGGAGGTGAAGAGGTCATGAGGGTGGAACCCTCACGAATGCCATGAATGTCCTTATCAAAGAGACCCCTCATACTTTTCACACAAAAAGACTCAGCAAGAAGCCACCAGCAATAAGGACAAAGGCCCCCACCTGACACCACTCTGTGAGCTCCTTGATCCTGGACTTCCCATTCCCCAGAGCTTCAAGAAGTAAATTTCTGTCACTTAAAAAGCACCCAGGTGCTCGCTTCAGCAGTACATATACTAAAATTGAGGCGATACAGAGACGATTAGCATGGCCCCTGCACAAGGACAACACATGTCTTGGTTATTTTTCTCTCATTGCTGAGACAAAATACCTGACTCCCAAAATTAAGGAAGGAAAGGTTTATTTCGCTCACAGTCTGTGAAGGTTTCAGTCCATACTTGGCTGGCTCCAAGGCCCAGTGGCACATGGCAGAGGGCAACCATTCATGGATGTGGAAAACAGCAAAAGCAGCCAGAACAAAAGGGAGGAGTGGCAGCAAGCAACCTCTTTCCTTCCCTTACATATGCAAACTATCCGCCCCAGGACAGGTGTAGCCCTCACACCCATAGTCCCAACATTGGATCATGAATCAATCATAAACTCTAAAGGTCTGCCCTATGACTGCATGAGACTTTGGGATAGACATCCAGACACAAACCATGGGGGCTGGGGATTTAGCTCAGCGGCACAGTGCCTGCCTGGCAAGCTCAAGGTCGTGAGTTTGATTCCCGGTACCGGAAAAAGAACAAAAAACAAACAAAAAAACAGACACAAACCATAACAGCACACAAATTCATGAAGTGCTCCATATTAAAAATAAATAAATAAAGCACCCAGGAGGTTGGACGTGTGGCTCAGTGGTAGAGCATTTGCCTGGCATGTGCAAGACCCTCATTCAATTTCCAGCACTGCAAAAGTGAACAAAAATATGAGCAGCAATTTATGGTATTTTGTTACAGTTGTTCAGATGGACTAAGAAAATGAGTGACTCTTACCCTCAACAAAGGCGATCTCAAGGAGATAATGCAGAAAGAAACTTGATGTCAGCGGGAACAGGAAAGATTGAATGACAGATGAGGGCAGAATGCTCTTTAAGATGCTGCTTAGGGAGGAAAAGGATGTTGGATGACATTGGAGAAGGCAGGAACAGGAACAAGGGTGGAATTTTGTCAAAATGGTTATTATTTTGAAAAGCCAGGCATGGCGGTGCATACTTATAATCCAAGCACTCAGGAGGCTGATGCAGTAGGATCGCCATGAGTTCGAGGCCAGCCTGGGCTACATAGGCAAGTTTAAGGCCAGTCTTCACTACACAGTGAGACTCTGTCTCAAAAATAAACAGACAAAAAAAATGGTTGAGGCTAGAGTATATTTATAAATGACAGAGTACAGGGCAGGTTAAATTCATAGGACAGTTGGATATTTGTAGAAGCAAAGTCCCAGAGAAGGGTAGAAAAGATGGAATTAGTGCATGAGTACAGAGTTCATACTTAGGTAGGGGGATGACGCTAGGGGGTTAGAGATGGCAAGAAGGCTGCAGGAGGGGTTAGGGCAGTGAAGGGAGCCCTTGACAGATGGTAGTCAGGAGATAACAAGGAACGCTGTTCTGAAGTCCATAGTCCAAGGGAGTAATAGGGCATCATTTCCTTCAACAAACAAAGTGGGGTTTGGAACAACCATGGTGCCCTGAGCCCAGAGCTTGCTGCTAAAACATGAGGAAGATGCTGTGACCATCGTAGTGCTCTCAGGGACGCACCTCAGAACTGCTGAACGTTTGCCCCGCCCCCTCCTTCCGCTCAGCCTTTTTTCCCGTCTCTCTTTCCTTTTTCTTCCACAAATGTTTCTTCGCTCTCTTTCTACGTCGCCATGGGCCCCTCTCTACCTCTTGCTCCCTTCACCTCCCTTATCTTCCTCTTCTCAACTCCATCTGCTTCTCTTTCCTTCTCCCTCTTCTTTGAATTTCCAGAAGAAGGAAACAAATTGGGTTTTAGTCTCTCATATTTACTGAGCAAACATTTGTTTCCTCTGTTTATTTTTTTTAAAAGAGAATTAAAAAATAATTTTAAAAAACCCCACTAGAAGTGATACAGAATTTCACTAAACAAGATGATGGGAATTCAAGTGGTTGTTACATTGCATATTGTTGCCTTCAAAGTAGTTGTTCATATTACCAGTCCTGTGTTTTGATTTTTAAAACAAATAAATTTAAAATGTGATGCTTCTTTCTCCAAAACTAAAGGTTCCCATGAGTTTCAATTACTTTTTCTGTGGGTGATGACCCTTGATAAATTGAACATTCCCTGCCTCTGTAAGGGACCGTGCAAGAGGCAGCAGATTGTTGCATCCCCAACAGACATGATGCTTATTTTCCACATAGTGTTGACTTCATGAGAAAGAGAAGGCTTGAACTCTATCATGTACACTCAAAGTTTCTATGCATCGTATTAGCAAGTAAAACATAAAGAAAAGAAAAACCCAGGAAGTGTATATTGATATCCATAAATTCAGTGTTACAGTTGAAATTCAAATGATGGGACCTGGTCATAAAAAATCCAAGTTTATGGCCAAAGTACACAAATTGCTTCAGGAAATCTCATACTCTCAGTTGCTAGCCAAGAAAATCATGTCTTCCTTGTTCCACTGACCTGGCAACAAAAAAGTAGCCCTCGTAGCAGCGGGTGACGCAGTATTCCTCTGACTGTTGGAAGAGCACTCCCAGACCACACATTGCATGGTGGGTTCTGACCCTGGCCATGAACTCTCTGGGGAAGACGCACAGCTGGGTTTGGCATTGACTTTGGTTTCCTTGGATGACCTAAAGCCAGAAGTTTTCGCCTGTGCATCAGCGGAACAAATCCTCCACATGGATGAAAGTGAACATATGAAAACGGCATCCGGGGCTGGGGATTTAGCTCAGCGGCAAAAAGCGCCTGCCTGGCAAGCGCAAGGTCGTGAGTTCGGTTCCCGGTACCGGAGAAAAACCAAAAAAAAAAAAAAAAAAAAAAGAAAACGGCATCCACAGGGGGGAAACTAAATTCTGAACCCGGTTCAGCAACAGCCTAAATTGTGGCCATTACTTTTAAAAGCAGTGCTCACATTTTGTGACTTCTAAGTAACACCTCTAGTTAAATATGTCTTGCTTATGTGTCTTAATATGCCCCTTTTAACAGGTATCTTTCATTTTTTAAAATGTTTATTATAAAAGAGACATTAGGAGTAGAAAGTCTTCAGAGAGTGCCAGGGGTAGAAGATGGAGAGGAATCTCAGAAATCCAGGTTTAGACTCCCCAAAATGCAGGCAGGGGTGCACACTGGAGGGGTGGAAGGATGCCACGCCTGGGGGGCGGTGCTTCCGCAGCCTGGAAAATTGGGGGACAGCAGCCTGTGTGAGTGATGTCTATAAGGCCAGTGGTGTGGCAACAACCAGAAAAAGCAAAAGCCCAAGCAGCCCTGACAAAGCTACAGAGCAGAAGTTTGCCCTGTGTTTTCCTGTCTCTGGAACCGTTTCACAGATGTTCATTCCAGGCAGCACCCTGTGCTCGCAGTTCTTGCTTCCTACGCTCTTTTCACACCCTCGTTCTTTATGCCCGGGTCGTTGTTGCCTTAAGTATCTAATACAGCTATTCACACTAAAGTACAATGTAGAGAGCAAGTAACTTCATTACATTGCTTTGGTGGTGTTTGTACTTTAAAGGTGGACCTCAAAGGCAGCGACTAAAGAGATGAATTGCAGAGGGTGCAGCAAGCGATTGGCTAAATGCTTACGGGCAGGAAGAGCTGGTGTCTATCCCTGGGGACTATCCTGTAGTGATGGCCGATTCATCACGCTTTTTTAAAAAGAGATCTTTTGCCGTGTATCAATCAAAAGTATTTAGGAGCGGCACCTGCATGATCTGAAACAACCCTCAAACTTGCATTTTCTTTTTTTCCTCACACTTCGGATACCAAACCTCTGTGCTTGATTGTGGAATCTTAAGAGGGTTCAAAGGCAAAGCGTCCTGAAAGTAAACAAAGTGCTTCCTCATGTAGCAATGACTTTATGAATATTTAAGGGTATAAAAACAATCTCTTTTCCCGATTTGATCATTGTTCAGAGTTGACGTTACTAAGACCCCATGGAGTTTTATCAATTTGATAGGATCACGTTCCCTTCACAAAAGGTAAATCTCTCTTCCTTGCATTTAATTTGAGATGGTGTTCTTGTAAATAATTTTTCTGCTCACTAACTTATGCTTTTTTTATGCACTTTTCCCCTTTTCCCTTCTCCTGTTTACATTTCTCAGGACAAATGTTGCCTTTCACTTTACTGCCAGCCCCTCTCAGCCTCAGGTAGGTGAAGAGTTCCAAGAACTATCAAAAGCCACTGTCTAGATGTTACTTGCTGAAACCGTGGGATCAGAGAGTTGGCTTGTGGTCTTGTCCTTGACCTTCTGTAATTTGAGATGTATTTGTATTCTGGATGGTTACTCACGTCACTGGGATTTTGAACACAAACATTTATCTTGTCACTTTAACTGGCATGAAATGGGAGAAATATTTGCTTCCTGGTGCTCTTTGGTTCAACTTTCATTGAGCAAATCATGGCCTCCTATGTCCGAAGTACAGCATTAGACTGTATCAGCTGCTAGGGACACAGAGTGAGGATGAGAGACACAACTTCTGTCACTATGGACCTGACAGGACGGGGCAGGGGGACAGGGACTGGAAGGGGGATGAGACAGATATACAAATAATTGAACTGAAAATACAATAAAAATAAGATAGAGTTTAATTCCTACAAGGTTATTGATGGGTTCAATTTAGTTTTTCCCATTTTAAGGAAAGAACAGGAATGCTGACAAGCATTAGGAGAATTAGCTATTTTTGATGTGCTCTTCTTTAAACCATATTCATAAACAGAATAAATACATAACAATAACGTTAATTACTTCAGGCCATTTCTCTGGTAACATTCTAGTTACCTTTATTTTTTCCTTCATAGCTTTTGAAAGATAAGGTCTATACAATAACAAGTTTAAAACAGGGTTTTTTAAATATTTAGTATAAATTATCCATAAGCTATAAAACGACTTTGGTAATAATGATCACCTCATTTTTTTGTTTTGGATATAATAAAATTGTATTAAAATATTACTAACCAAGCTAGCCATGATGGTGCACACATATAATCCCAGCACTTGGGAAGCTGAGGCAGAAAGACTGCCATGAGTGTGAGGCCAGTCTTGGCTACATAAGTTAGCCTGACCTGCATAGTGAGACGTTGTCTCAAAATACCAAAAAAAAAAAGAACTTGTTGTAAGCCTGCTGAGTCACTGATATGCAGGCAAATACTCAAATGCATCTCTGAAAGTAAGCCTGGTTTGTAGTGTCCCCCCATTCTCGTGGTGTAAATACTTCCACCATGGCAGATTTCAGGCTGCTAATGTGATGTCATAGAACAGAGTTGGGAAGTGACCGGCAAATCAGCTCCCCTACATCTGTATGAACCAACTCCCACACATCCTTTAAGAGTTCAGGGCCCCTTGGCCATGAAGCCTCTGCAGGGCATTTGTATGGCCACCCCATGTGGAAGGGGGAGGCAGGTCAGAATCTGTTGCCCTTAACACATATTAACCACTTAAAGTAATATTAGAAACTACTGGTGATTAGCTGCAATGGGAGATACCTAGAAGAAGGGGGAACAACTTGTACTCTGACTTGGGGAAGATACCAGACTATTGTCCTGTATAGAGCTATAATACATATATAGTATATGTTGTAGCCACCATACCATGTAATAGAAGTGCTGGTAGCCTAAAAATTAGTAATAATTACATGTTAAGGTTTCTTTTTATTGCAAAAATTATTTAAATATTAAATCATAAATAACCCCCAAACTAGAATGTAACCCCCAAACTAGAATGAAACATAATTAGAGCAAACTAATAAACAAAACACAAAGTCTTTGATAGCTGTAAAAGTCTTACTTATTCTTAACGGTTCCCACTTTGGCCTGTAGATTATATGCTTTTTGATTACAAGCAAGCTATGCTGTTCCTACAAACTCGTCTGAATGAGTGCATGTTCTCAGACAACCTACATCAACCACTGTCGGGCTCTACTCCTGTGGATCAAAGCAGGGTGCAAAACTGACTGGTTACACAGCAGGTAGTCAGGACCCACGTGGTGATTTTTAGCCTGAATTGCAGTCACTGCTTTGCATTATTTTTTGCTTTTTCCTAGTAAAATTGGATTATTAAGTAATAGGTAAAAAACACTGATTTGCAATTTATGGTAATTTAGAGATAAACCAGGTTAATCACACTTTGGTCTATTAATAAGGATTTAGTACATGTCAGCTGCTTGCACAAAGCCATTTCCTATCATTCATTACATATGTATATTTTATATATATGATGTATATGTAATATATATGATGCACATGTCATCATTGTAATGATGACATTACTAACAGTAATCACAGAACATAATGTTCTTGAATGGCAAAGCATGGGTCTCCTGAGAACCAGGAACACCTCTTGGAAATTCTAGACTCCTCACTTTTTGAAGATCCCTGTATTATGAGTATCTGAATCAAGCTCTAAAATGAAGCGGGTTCTTAGGGGTGCCGCCATCTGTTATGTGGCAGGAATAGACTTCCAAACAGCAGCTTGAGATGAATCTTGAGATGATTTTTCTCCCCCACCAAAAACCTTTAGATTATTGAAAAAACATTCTATTTTTATTAACCTAGTTCTCAAAACAGGATTAGTGAAGGGGATGTTAGAATACAAACTTAAATTTTAATGTCTTTGCCTCTCTTCTAAAGTGATAGGTTTATTAGAGTCCTAGAATATGAAACTTGTTTTGATTGGTTTTCTCAAAATGTGAATCATACCTCTGACATTCTCAACCAGTTATCATTACTGAGCATAATTCCCCTTTCTTCATGGTTAGTAACATGTTCAAAGCTTAAGAGTTAGTACATTTTGCCAATAGATTAGTAATCTAGCTACAGGTAAATAGTATAATAACCTCTTTCTATTAGAAATGTTTCCTAATTCCAATAATACTTCAAAAGTTACCTTTAAAGATTTTTCAACCTGCCCAGAACTGTAAGCATATTTCAAGAGCTGGGTATAAGGCTTTGAATCTGAATGTCTTCTTAATATAGCCCAACCAGGAAATAGATCCTCTAGCAAAAGGTCTAGGGGATGGACTGGTCTGGCCCTAATTATTGTCTGTGGGAAGGTGGCCAAAATTCTTGAAGAACAGGCTTTTCTACTTTTCAAGGTAGAGCTTCGTATTTCACAGTAATCACTCAGAAATAGTATGGTCTCATTTTACATCCCAGGTGTCTCTCATTCAAAGGCAGGGAGGAAGTCTTCCTTAGTAGGAAAAGGAATGAAATACAGTAAAGTTTCCCTTTAGAAAAAGACATGGTATGACCATAAAGTCAAATGGCTACTTTGTTTTACTCACCGTCTCCCTAATGTCTGTCCCGGAGTCCTAGGGCAGAGCAGTTAGTTGCCCAATACGTATGAGATGAATGGCCGACTGAAATAACAGATTCGTGTCTGAACTTTGTGCCTAACAGGAAAGAAAGCAATCCTGTTCATGTGAAAATGGCTTGAGTTCATAATCCATAAACATTTCTTATAATAAAAAATTATAACTTTTTTTTCTTATTCTCAGTTTTTTCTATACAAGTTTCCCAAAGATGTGGACTCGGTTATCATTAAAGTGGTGTCTGAAATGGCTTACCCATGTTCCGTTGTTTCAGTCCAGAACATCATGGTGAGTGCTGGTGCTTTTCAACCTGCTAATACAGAGTAGTATGTTATCCCAGAGTAAACGAAAGGGAGGCGTGTCATGCTTTCACTATGTGTCTCCCCCCAAACTACTACATAATGACAGTAGTATCTTGTGCACCTGAGTGGACAGTGCATGTTTGCAGACTGATTTAGGGAGATAAAGAATAGTTGACCCCTTACCAAGTAAAGGAAAGAAGGAAGAAAGGAAGGGAAGAAGGGAAGGAGAGAGGATGGATCATGATAAGGAGCAAAGAAAATCAATTCCACAAGAAAAATAGAAACCTACTGTTTGTTGTGTTTTAAAATTTCTTTTTTTTTTTTTTTGGTTTTTCTCCAGTACCGGGAACTGAACTCACGACCTTGTGCTTGCCAGGCAGGCGCTTTGCCGCTGAGCTAAATCCCCAGCCCCTGTTTTAAAATTTCTATTGTACCACTAAGTTCTTTCTGCCCCGCCAGGTGTTAACAACAAATGGGAAAGACGTTGTACACTCAAAGACTGTCTTTTCATAGTTCACCTCAATGTAGAGTGATCTTGGCTTTACAGGACTTTGACTTTGACTTGGGAGGACAAGGCACCAAGTTCTAGGCAGACTATTTCATGAGTGTTCCGGGTTGAGGGGACTTTTCATGGTTTCTGGTGTAGTAAAGCCTCCCCTGCTCTGTGATCTACAGGTCTGTGTGGGCAGGCCCAGACGGAACCTGCGTGTAATGTGACATTAATGATGCTTTCTTTTTTCTCCCTCATGAATGCTGCAGTGCCCAGTGTACGATCTTGACCACAATGTGGAATTCAATGGTGTCTACCAGTCCATGACCAAGAAAGCTGCCATCACACTACAGGTAAATCGTTGATTCTGTGGTCACTACTGTCAAGGACAATGCTCAGTGGATAGTCGGTTTACCACTGGACCGGCATCCAGAATAGGTGGTCATCTACTATGTATCTTGATTCTTTTTCTATTATGATGGTTAAAAATGAAGATTTCTGGGCCTGGAATCAAAGCCTGGCGATGGAGAACAATGCCGTTCTGCCAAGTACTCTCCCGATGGGGATTCTTGGAAACACATGATGAAGTGGGACATATGTTTGACAGTTTCCTTAGAGAGGTATGAGCAGAACATTCCAATCTACCCAATGGAGGGTGCCCGTTTAGGGTGAAATTTATGAGACCTACTTAACATGGTTAAATGTATTCTAATAATTTTTACCAGAAACTGTCACCAAAAGATGACTTCAAGTGTGGACAGATTGACAGGTTCAGAGGGATATAGGTCATATTTTTATTTGTAACTAGATTATTATTTTAATGGTAGTTAAGTAGCAAAAATGTTCATGCACTATATCAGCATGTTTTCAGACACTCTATTCTTTGGGTGGTACTCAAGGAACCTGGGACTTCATCTGTTCTCCACAGTAAGGTGCTATTACTCATTGAATAACATGAAAAGAATGAGAAGAAGTTAATTATAATTTAGACCTAAGTCACACCTAAAAACTTCTAATCGTCAAGTCAATGTCAAGGATCTCAGATTTGATTTCCCAAATATCTGCTCTTGTTTTTAGTATTTATTTCTTCCATAACATCTCAGCATTATGCGGTCCCAAGTAAAACAGAGTAGAAAAATAACTGTAATAGTGACCCTCAAACTTTACATCACCCAGGACACTATATTAATAAAGGACAAAGTGTATCAGTGCAGGTGTACTTTGGATGTATTTGACAAGGAATTCTTACTTTTCTTTTGGGTCCATGTTGTAGTCTTGGGCCTTTTTCTCAGTGGGCTAAACATACCAGAAATTCATGAATAACTTTTTTAAAGTTGGGATTGTAAAACTATTATGTATCTTAACGGCTGTCTTGTCAACCATGCTCCATTCATGGACAAAGAAACTAGAATACAGATAAGCAGAGACAGAAAATCAAAGCCAGGCACATAACTCAGGTCTCCTGACTTGTGTCCTTTGCCTCCCTAACTGCATTATTTATTTAACTGCTGACTGCATTATTTTAAGAAAGTTGTTCATCATTATATTTTAAAAATAAAAACAGAACAATATACAAGTATTAATTATTAAACAGAGGCCACTGACATTATTGTTTATATAGCTCCTACTACAGTTCTAAGCACTTGTGTGAAAACAAATAGATTGAACTCATAACAGTGTATCTGTTTACTTTAATTTCTGGGATGTAACAATTACTGTGGAAAATCTGGAAGGTCATGAGTATGTGACAGTCCTTTCTAAGGTGTTAGAGGGCCAGGGTAAGCTCTACTTTTCTCTTCTTTCCTTTCTTTTTATCCCCAACCCCACGGACTTTGTCTCTTCTTCTGCTGTCTTTCTTACCTGCCCGTCACAAGGTTGTTATGTCTCACACAGAAGAAGGATTTTCCCGGCGAGCAGTTCTTTGTGGTGTTTGTGATAAAACCTGAAGATTACGCCTGCGGAGGATCATTCTTCATCCAGGGTAAGAGACAATGAAGGATACTTGGAAGAGAAGCCAAATGCTTGTCTTTAGTTCTCATTAAGGGTCCATCAGCAGTAACGTGGCAAGGTAGTCTGAAAGACATTTAACAAAGTGAAAGGTAGAAAATAATAGATCTAAAGGTGTTTTTTATACTACAAAATAACAGTACCGTTCAACTTTTTTGAAGTGTTATACTCTCTCATACCGCAGAAAGTAAATTCTCACAATTTGCTCTTCACTTAACAAAATACTTGCACCTGAGAAGTAAAGACCTCACACAGTGGGTCAATGTTCATTTTCTAAGTTCAGTTTCCTAAGATAAAGCCACTTATTAATTAGGAGTCATCATTTCCACAAGCTTGTATGAGGAAAATGTAGAGCTCATCATTCCAATTGCCAAAATGTACTCGAGTTGTTTTTTTTGTTTGTTTTTGGGTTTTCTCCAGTACCAGGAACCGAACTCACGACCTTGCGCTTGCCAGGCAGGCGCTTTGCCGCTGAGCTAAATCCCCAGCCCTCCAATTGCCAAAATGATACCTCATAAGACTGTAAGAAAGGCAGGTGTAATGACTTATCCCAAAGATAAAGGATTATGTGAATCTCAGAGACAGTACAGATAGTTATGGAAGACTATCCAGTACTACTTTGGGAGTAAAATGAACTGTCAGTTGAATCACAGCCCACTTGTTGAAGATGCATGTGTCAGTTTCACAGAGGGTGTTTACTGTTAAGCGTAACACAGTCCCCTTGTTGTATAGGTGAAATTTCTGCTAGTGCACTCTTTAATCTCTTAAGTCTATAGCTCTGGAGTTTTACCAGTGCCCAATGTCCTACAAATCCTTTGATTTCTATGTGAGGAAAAAATAAATTTCCATTGGCTAGAAAAAAATGCAAGCTAAAAGAAGATGCAGCTTTTTATTGTTGCATCTGTTTCTTCAGATGTCTGTAGGTATCAGATGCTCCTCTCCTCAGTGGAGAAGGGAGGCTGCAGTCTCATTTCCTTTGCATCTGAACTACCAAAATGCACCTGAAAAAAGGCCAAGATGAGAATCTTAACCCAGTGGGAGATTATATGCATGGGAGGCTTGGAAGGGGAGATTTTGCTTCCAGTTCTTGTAAAAATAAAATTCCACAACCAGAATAATTCTGGACATGTTTGAACATCTATTATCAAGAGAGGATAAGAATCTAGTATCTGATCTCATGTGCCTTGCACCTTGATTTTTGTTATTGTTGTTGTTGTTTTGATTTTTACTAGAAAATGAAAATCAGACCTGGAATCTACAGCGAGCAAAGAACCTCAGAGTAACCATCGTTCCTTCCATCAAAGGTCGGTGCTGCCCATAGAGATTCCTGTGTCAGGAAAGCTCTCACATAATGCATTCCAGGAAAGCTCTCACATAATGCATTACTAATGTTATCCAGAGGAATCATTATAAGAAAACAAAAACGTATTTACCTGTGAGACAGAAGAATCAGAACACTTTGTTAAATACCTCCCAAAGGAGAAAGGAACTCAATTCTAGATTTGTATACACCAGTCCCTTCCTAACTTCCACTGGGGAATCATTATTGCAAAAGGCAGCTGCTTATGGCTTGTGTCCAGGTGACCTTGCACAGCTTTGCTGCTCTGAATGAAAATTTCTTGGGACTTAAGAATGGGTGTGATAGCCATGTTTATAGCAGCACAATTTGTAATAGCTAAATCTTGGAAACAACTCAAGTGCCCATTAACCAAGGAATGGATAAAAAAGATGTGGTCTTTTTATAAAACGGAGCACTACTCAGCCATAAAGAAGGATAAACTGGAGACTTACAGGTGAATGGATGCAACTTGGGGCCATACTCATAAGTGAAATAAAATAGATTCACATATGTAAAAATCATATTGTCTCCTAGTGCGAGAAGCTGAAAGAGTAAATAAGATCCAAAATGTACAATAGACATTGTAAAATGGGAAGAAACTATATATATATATATATATATATATATAGGGAGAGAGAGAGAGAGAGAGTTAAAATAGTTATACTAGTTTCTCTTAGTTCATTGAAAAGAGAAGTTTATGCTAATATTGTTTGGACAATTTGATGCCAATATTTTGTACTCTGAGTAACTAATTTAAAGATAACAATATGCAATGTATTAACCATTGTTACCCTCCTATTATCTTGTTATGAGATTTTGGGGGTTTTTTCTCCTTAAAAAAAATAAGAATGGGTGTGATGGAGGTGGGCTGTTTCATCTGTCCTGTCCCAAGCAAAATCCTCTTTCTCTGGAGGACAGCCTGACCAAAGTTGTTTCTCTCTTCAGGATCTGTTTATGTGAAATCCAGTCTTTTCAGTGTCTTCATCTTTTTGTCCTTCTACGTGGGATGCCTGCTTGTTGTGTTTGTTCATTACGTGAGGTAAGTCAAAAGTCTCGAGAACTGTGAACCTTCTTTGCCTTACTCTGTAATGATAACAGCATAGGCTTTTGAGCTATTTTGGCTCTGATTAAAGATACCTCTGTCTCTAACTGTGACCTTGGGCAAACTACTCAACCTTCTGTGCTTCAGGCTTCTCATCTGTAAAATGAGATAATAATCTACGTCATAGAGTAATATAACTTACAGTGTTCATGTAAATGTCATGGCCATAATAAATGCTGATACAGTGTTTGTTATTTTCATCGTTAATGAAAACTCAACAAAAAGGCAACTTGTATAATTTTCAGACCAGAAAACACTCACTGTAAATCCTATAGACTATGGGAAATGATCAGTTCTTCTACATAGGGAGATTTAGGAACAGCTTTGAACATTCTGTCAAGAAAAGTAAATTTAATGCCTAAAATAAATCATAAGGTACAATAAACAGCAGAATAATATGATTTGATGCCACATTATCAGGTGCTTTTCTACTTCTGTAGCATCAATTTCCCAGTAAAATGCCCTGTGTGGGGGATATGGAGAAAATTGTGCTAGAATTGGATCAAGGAAATTTTCCTTCCCAAATTTTGGAGCCCCCATTAAAACAGTCAGTCTCTGTCTTTCTGCAAGGCTGACCCTTGGGAATTTCATTCTTTGTTCTGCTCTCTGTGAGCTCCAAAGGAATGGCAGGAGGTTTGCAATAAACAAATGTTCTTTCTTCTCTTGAACATGTTAAGAAAACAAAGCCACCATCTGCAGAAGGATCTCTCTACCACTTCAGTGATACTGTGATCTCAGTGATACGGATCTATTTCTGATTCCAAAAACAACAACTTCCTTCTGTGACCTATGTGAAGCTTTTGAATTGAAATAACTTCCTTCAAACATCCCACAGCTACCACTAGCCAAATGTGGGAGAATTTTAGCACCAAAATCATTAAGAATAATGAAATATAAACCACTCAAATAAAATAGAAATCCATGGATCTGTACTTATAAAGAAAAGAAGGAAAGACCTAACCACCTCTAGCTATGTATCTAGTAAATGCAAAAAATTTACTAAAACAGGTACCCATTAGAGAAAGGTGCCACTAGCAAAGACCGTCAATAAAAGGGAGAACTTTTCCCACAGCAGAAGACTCAGAGCTGATTGGTAAATACACAGAGAGTGCTGCAGTTGGAAAATCATTTGTTGCAAATATCCTAGTAAAGACTAGATCAGGTTAAGAATCATCAGTGGCTGCTAAATCAGGAGAAGGAGGAATCAGATGTGCATCAAGATGTCTGCGTGGTCTTAAAGTACATCCTCACAAACTGGGTAGTAGTTCTAAGAAAAAACAATAACAATAATTGTGTCAATAAGCTCTCCCACTGCTGAATAGAAATATCTGATACCCACAATTTAAAAAGGAAAATGTTTGTTTGGCTCACGGTTTCAGAGAGTTCAGTCCGTGATTAGCTGGCTCTGTGGCAGAAGCATCATGGTGGAAGGGTATGGCAGAGGAAAGCTGCTCTGTTTACGGCAGCCAGGAAGCAGAGCAGAGGAATAGTATCAGAAAGGAAGGGATGAAGGACCAGATATAGACCCTAGGTCACACCTGTATGGCCCATTCAGAAAAATCCATAAGTGTGCTTTACTAGTTGCCTGGGTGGTCACAAGTCAATCCAGTTGACAGTCCACTTTAACTGTCACAATACCTGTACAGTAAAGAAATCAAACACATTGGCTGGGTGATCAAAATTAGTATCACCAGGGCCAGGTGTGGTGGCACACGACTGTAATCCCAGCATTTGGGAGGCTGAGGCAGGAGGATCATTGTGAGTTTGAGACCCGCCTGGGCTACAAAGTGAGTGCAAGGCCAGCCTGAACTGCATAATGAGACCTTGTCTCAAAAAGACCAAAAAAAAAAAAAAAAAATTAGTATCACCAAAGGGAAGGTGAACACTATGCAGCACATTAAGAAAGACACAGCTGTATTTATGCAGCATTCTAGATATGTATATTTTTAATCATGTTTTAAGGTACAAAATATGTCATAAAAGACAAAGAAAGTATATGGGAGTGTTCTAGGTTAAAAGGCACTAAGGAGATATGACAACTAAAGACAACATCTGATCTCAGACTGGAACTCAATCCAGAAGAAAAATATGCTATAAAGGACATTATTGGTCCAATTGACAAGTTGAAATAGAGTGTGTTACATAAGGACATCATTCCATTGTTAAATTGCTGAATTTGATGCTTGTAGTTATGTAAAGCAATATCCCTATTCTGGAAATATTTAGGTGTAAAAGTCTACAACATATGTAACTTACTTTCAAATGATACAGCAAAAATTTGTAGCTAGATAGATTATGTGTGCGTGGGAAAAGAATAATAAAAGCAGATGGGATAATAGGGTAACAAGTGAATCTAGGTAAAGGATATATGGATGCTCTATGTTCTTATTCTCAAAACTTCTTTGTAAATTTGAAATTATTTTCAAATAAAAGTTAAAAACATCCAGGTATGATGTCACACACCTGTAACCCCAGCACTCAGGAGACAAAGGCAAAAGGATTGTGAGTTCTGTGTATCCTGAACTACACAATGAAATTCTGTCTCAAATAAAGTAAAAACAAAAACTTAGGGATACAGGCAAATTTTATACCTGGAAAGTATATACATTAACTGAGTATTAGTTCAATTACTTTTATCAGATCATAGTCACTAACATTTAAGAAATACATGCTCTGGGACTGGGGATATAGCTCAGTGAAACAGCACCTGCCTGGTAAGCACAAGGTTCTGAGTTCAATTCCCTGCACAGAAAGGAAGAAAGAAGGAAAACAAGAAAAAAAGGGGGGGAGAAAGGAAAGAGGGGGGGGGGAAAGAGAGAAAAAGAAAGAAAAAGAAAGAAAGAAAGAAAGAAAGAAAGAAAGAAAGAAAGAAAGAAAGAAAAAGAAAGAAAAAGAAAGAAAGAAAGAAAGAAAGAAAGAAAGAAAGAAAGAAAGAAAGAAAGAAAAAGAAAGAAAGAAAGAAAGAAAAGGAAAAGAAAAGAGAGAAAGGTCTGCTCTGTGCAAAGCAGTGTGCTGGACCCTCTAAACAGATGATCTCATCTGGTGCTCCTAATGGTGGGATACTACTTGCTGTGGGTTGTGCCTGAATGTCCCCCCCAAAGCCTCATGTAGTCATGGGACAGGCTTCTAGAGTTTATGATTGATTCATGGGTATGAGTGCTATACCTGCCCCAGGGAAGGTAGTTTGCATATAATGTAAGGGAGGAAAAAAGGCTGCCTGCTGTGCTCCTCCCCTTGTGCTCTTGTTGCTTTTGCTGTCTTCCGCCATCATGAACTGTTGCCCTCAGCTATGTGCCACCCTGCCTTGGAGCCAGCCAAATATGGAGTGAAACCTCCACAAACTGTGAACTAAATAAACCTTTCCTTCCTTAATTCTGGGTGTCAGGTGTTTTGTCTCAGCAACGAGAGAAAAGTAATCCAAGACAGTACTATTATCATCATGTGACAATTAAGAACACTGAAGCACAGAGAGGTTAAACAATTTGACGAAGAATTCACAACTAGCAAGTGAAGGAACTAGGCAGCTTGGCTCCTGATCTAGGTCTTAAGCAGGCTGATCAGGATGAATCTGCTCAGGGTCCATGAGGAAAGTCAGTCCTGACCAAGGATTGCAACCAAATATTGGGCATTCCAGCAAGGATAAAATTTTAAAAGGCCCCCAAAAGTTTCCACTTTTGCCTCAAAGGAGGCCCAATATCATGGAAAAGAAGTTCCTCTCTTCTGCCTTTCTTAGGAAGACTGCACTCTTGGCGTTTTAGCTTTTTAGGAAACAGGATTACTTCTCATGAGTCACCTAGCATGCATAGTCAACACACAGACAAAAACCTGAGAGCTGATTATCAGTCTCTCTCAAGTTGTTATTCAGCCAACTGAAGTGAGCGCCGTTTTCGAAAGTTGTGGTTTAAAGCTCTGTTGAACTTCTAGTTGCAAATTATATTGCTACAGTCAAATGCCCAAGCATAGACTCCTTCCAGATACAGACAAACTGAAAATAGAAACCTGGAGACATAAGGACCATTTGGCATTCTAAGTAGAGGATTAGACTAAGGAAAAATGCTAATTGGGGAACTCTCCTTTCATTGAACTAAGTGAAACAAAGTTTTCTACACAACCATCGGAAACCAGTTCTCTCGGTGTAATACCACTACTATACCACATTAACAGTCCGTGTAGGATTTATGGTATATATTATTCAACCAGGATGAAAAACATTGCTAAGAAAAATGGCCTTTGCCCTAGGAAAGCTAAAAATCCAAATTCTTCTTATGCCATGTTCACCTGAACCTAAATACCATTCCTTTCCATCCCCAGTCCTTCCAAGATGTATTGATTGAGCTCCTACAATGAATCTGCAGACCCCAGGGTCAAGACTGCACATGTACCTTTCCAACAGCTTGCCAGACGCTAAGTCCAGACTGCCCAACCCTGAGTGCTCATCCTTCCCTTTGATTCTTATTTTCCTTACCCATTGTCACAGTGGGGCTTCTCAGCCATAAAAACTCCAGGAGCGTACGGCAACAAATATTTAAGCTTGCTCACAAATCTGTGGGTGAGCTAGAAACCTGCAGCAGCTCAGAGGCTTCTGTGGGATGTGGTCACAGAATGTGATCTGCTGGCAGGTCAGCTGAGAGCTGGGTGTTCTAGACTGGCCAAGCTGCACTTGGCTGTCATTGTCCGGCAGGCTAGCTTGGGATTATTACCTCTCAACAAGAGAAGCAGAACGGTACAAGCCTCCTTCGGATATAGGTTCAGAAGTGCGTCTTACCCTGCTAGAGTAGAAATAAGTCATGAAGGCAGTCCAGATCCGGAGATAAAGATATACACTGCACCTTTTGATTAACAAAGTACAACCACTTTGCAGTTACCCAGCACAGTTCTCATTTCCTGTTTATTTGTTCACTGGATACTGCCTGCTTCACCCCAGCTTTGTAAAATCACTGAATTCCTCTAATGAGGAACAGTTTCAAAAGCTAAAGCAAACAGGTATAGAATCCTTTAATGCAACTACATAATACAAGCACATCATCTCCTATAATAGGTCCGTATAATTGCTTGGTGGTCAGTATCACTAAAATTGTTAAGAAATTTCACCACAGCCTCTTTTGCCAGCTAGAACAGACAAGTCAAATCATCACTGCTGTCTTTAGTGACATGCTTTGGTTTATTGAGCAAATATTTAGTTACTGTTTTCTTTGTCCTAGAACAGTGACGGCGAACATTTTAGAGATCAAGTGCCCACACTGCAAGCCCAAACCCACTTATTTATCATAAAGTGCCAATGCTGCATTTAAACCTGAATATTGAGGTTTTAGCTTAGAAAAAAAACTGTTATCTGATAAGCATCCGTTGGAGCAAATTGGCTAGTGTGCCAACAGAGAGGTCTCCACATGCTCACTGCAGCACCCATGCCATGGATTGCCACCACTGTCCTAGAGGCTAAAGATCTAGATCCCTGGATTATAGTGTTATTGAAGAGAAGAGGGTTTTTTGCCTTTATTTTTTGAAATAGGGCCTCACTATGCAGTTTAGGCTGGACTTGAGCTCACTATGTGGCCCAAGCTGGCTTCGAACTTGCAATGATCCTCCTGCCTCATCCTCCCAACTGCTAGGATTACAGGCTTATGCCACCATGCCCGGTTTGAGAAGAGATTTTTTTTAAAAAGTCTTGCTAGTGAATGAGGGAGAATAACCTCAATGGTGTGACAGAGAATGATTGAGTTGGGAATACCATTTTGGATGTGATTTCATCAGGAGAGAAGACCTCTCAGAACCAAGACCTGAACTGCAGAAGGAGCCTGCGATATAGGGATCTGGAGAGAGATTGATGCTGTCAGAGAGAAAAAGCAAAGGTCCTGAGGCAGGGATGAGTTTGGTATGTCTAGGCACAAAAGGGTGAAAAAGGGAAGTTCTTCCACAAACATATCAGAAATAAGGTCCCCAGCTGGAAATAAATAAGTATAAATTAAAAATGTACCAAAGCATGAGCACTTCCAACCCCTCTAATCTCACATCCAGAATGAAGGCTCACTTTGGGAGAAGCAAGTATATCACAGTTTAACTTTTGATAGACATTCACAAATGTATATCTAGCTTATTAAAAAGTTTTATTGAGAAAAATCATAGATCAGAACATTCACCCCTTTAAAATATACCATTATGGAATTTCTAGTATAATCACAGTAACACAATCCTCACCACTGAATATCTAATTTCAGAATATCTTCATAGCTCCTAAAAGCAACTCTGAGTTCAACAAGACTGCAGGATACAAGATCAATATACAAAAATCAGTTGTAGGGCTGGTGTTTAGCTCAGCAGCACAGCGCCTGCCTGGCAAGTGTGAGGTCATGAGTTTGATTCCCGGTACTGGAAAAACAAACAAACAAACAAAACAAAAACCATCAGTTGTATTTTCACATTGAAGCAATGGACAGTCCGAAAAGGAAATTAGAAGAGAATTCAATTCACAAAAGCATCAAAAATTTAATAGCAAAAAACAAATTTGACAAGCTAAGTGTATCATTTGTATGTTAAAAACTGCAAAACATCACTGAGAGAAACTTAAAATCCAGTTAAGTCGTAAAAGGAAGTTTTTTGTGACTTTCCCATGTTCATGGATTGGAAGATTTTATATTAAGATGGTGTGGCAGACAGAATAATGGCCCCAAAAATCTGTGCAGGTGTTAGTTCTGTGAATGTGTTATGTTACATGGCAAAGAGATAAAATTATCTTGGGTTATCCATACAGGCTTAGGGAAATCACTAGGATCCCTAGGACAGGGAGGAAAGAGGTCAAAGCAGGAGGAGATGTGACCATGGAGGCAGAGGTTAAAGTGATCCACTTTGAATAGAGGGGAAGGAGCCATGAATAGGTCAAGGGATGCAGGTTTGATGTCTGAATGAGATGCTTGAAAAGGTAAAAACAAAAACAAAAACAAAAATGGTCACAACTGGGAGCCTCCAGAAGTAACACCTTGATTTTAGCCATATAGGATACATCTTAGTTTTCTGACATCCACTGCAGGCTAATCAATTTGTGGTGCTCTACAGCATTAAATTTGTGATAATTTACTGCAGCAAAGTAAAAAGGTTAATATATATAGAAATACTCCTAAAATGAATCCACACATTTGACACAATTCTGACCAAGGTTCCAGCTGGATTTTATACAGAAATTGATAAGCTGAGTTCACATAGAAATGCAAGGGACCCAAAATAGTCAAAATAATCTTGGCAGGTTGTGAAGACAGACAAATTGGAGGATTCTATTCCTTATATCAACATTTTTTGCCAAGTCACAGTAACCAAGACTCAGGGACTAACATAAAGACATATAGACCAATGGAATAGAACCAAGAGTTCAAAAATAAACCTTCAGATCTGTGGTCAATCAGTTTTCAACAAGATGCCAATAAAATTCAATCAAGGAAAAATATTCTCATCCCAGCGGTGATGTCTAAATGAAAAAGAATGACATTGTACCCCTACCTCATACCATATACAAAAGTTAATGTGAAATGGGGCAAAGATATAAATGTAAGAGCCAAACCCATAAACCTCTTAGAAGATAACAGAAGTGTAAATCCTTGTGACCTTGGAATGGTTTCTAAGATACCAGAGCACTAGTAACAAGAAAAATAGGTAGAATTTATAAAAATGAAAACTTTTGTGCCTTAAGAAAACTATCAAGGAAGTGATAACATAAAATGAGAGAAAATATTTACAAACCATGTATCTGCTAAGAATGTAGTATTTAGGCTGTATAAAAAATTCTTACAATTCAATGATGAAAGGACACTCCCATTTAAAAATAGGTAGAGGAGCCAAATATGTAATCCCAGCTACTTGGGAAACTAAAGCAGATGATCACAAGTTCAAGACTAGCCTAGGCAACTTTAGGAATTTGTGGTGTTATAGCTTAGCACTGCTGTTATAGCCTAGCACTCTCAGGGTTCAACCCCTAGTACAGAAAAAAAAAAGTATTTAAAATAGATATTGCTCCCAAGAAAGTGTGGAAATGACCAGTAAGTATATGAAAAAATATGTAACACCATTCATTTTTAAGTAAATGTGAATCAAAAGTTTAATGAGATATCATACCCGTAACTAGCAAAAGGTAATGAAAATTTACAAGAGTTGGCAAGGTTATAAAGAAGTCAGAACCCTCATACCCTGCCGATGAGAATGCAAAACAACAGTTATTCACGATAGCCAGCAAGTGGAAACAAGAAAAACATACATCAAGTGAAAACAAATAAATGAACATGCTATAACATGGATGAGCCTTGAAAATATTGTGCCTAGTGGAAGAAGCCAGTAAAAAACATTCACATGCAGTATGATTCCCTTAATGTGAGTGGTCCAGGACAGGCAAATTTATAGAGACAGAAAGTAGATTAGTAGCCAGGCATGGTGGTGCGCACCTGTAATTCCAGCCCTCGGGAGGCTGAGGCAGGAGGATCAGCATGAGTTTGAGGCCAGCCTGGATTACATAGTGAGTTCAAGAACAGCCTAGACTACACAGCAAAACATTGTCTTAAAAAACTAAAAAAAAAAAAGTTAATTAGTGGTTTCCCAGGTCTGGAGCAAAAAGGCCATGAGCAGCAACAAACAGGGTTTATTTTTGCAGTGATGCAAATCCTCTTTCTATAATTTTGCGAGTATACCAAATTTCATCGAGCAGTAAATTTATAGTATGCAAATTACATCTGTAAACTGATGAATGAATGAGGTAAATACCTGGGAGTAGAATTGCTGGGTCATATGATAACTCTACATTTAACTTTTTGAGGAACTTCCCAGTTGTTTTCCAGAGTAACGGTACTGTTTTACATTTTTGTTTGTTTGTTTGTTTGTCTTTTTGAGACAGGGTCTCACTATGCAGTTCAGGCTGGCCTTGAACTTGCAACGATCCTCCTGCCTCAGCCTCCCGAGTGCTAGGATTACAGGCCTGTGCCACCACGCCCGACCCATGTTACATTTCTAACAGCAGTGTATCGGGGCTGATTCCTCCACATCCAGTGGTCCATTTTTAAAGATCTTCACAAGCAAATCTGCAGCAAAGCTTACAAGAAACAAATGTAAAATGCTGAGGCTTCACTGTCTTAGGAACATGTATCTTTGCTTATTTGCAGGTTTCATAGGAAATCTATCGATGGAAGCTTTGGTTCCAATGATGGTAAGAAAAATACTTGAATTTAATTCAGAATGAGGTTGAATAGTATAGCAGTATCCTGTGGGTGATTCTTTTGTCTCTCTGCCTTTGGCAATTTATAAACTCTTTGTTGATTTCTATGCCAGAGTTGTCTAATCATCAGTCTTTCTGTGGAAGGCAATGCTGATGAAAATCCACACCCTCCCACCAGGGGACTGGGGATTGAACTGGGGGCCTTGACTAAGCTGCATCCTCAACTCTTTTTTTCTTGTTTTAAATTTTAAGACAGAGTCTCACTAAGTCATTATGTTGCCTTGGTTGGGCTTAGACTTGCAGTCCTCTTGCCTCAACCTTCCAGAGTGCTGAATTAATAGGCCTGCGCTACTATGCCCATGTAGAACCAATTTTATAGTCGGTAATTATTGATTAAAGAGCTCACACTAAGTACCTTTGCTTGAAGTGTTCCTTGTCATTAATTATTCACAAGCCACTTGGCAACCATTCATCTTTTTTTAAAGTTGCATCTTTTCTACGACATAGCTGGTCATATCCGTCTTATCCCAAAGCTGATTTGGGAACAGTAGTAAGAATTTATTATATTAACTCTCAGACAGAATTTACTTTTCCTATATTGAGACAGAGACTTTTGTTTTTCATTCGTTTGTTCAAGTTCTCAAATACTTCAGAAAACTGAAGTATTTGAGGCTAGCAAGCATAATGAAGAATGCAACAGCTATGAAGAATGTAGAGTAATTAAGTAATTGCTGTAATTTCTCCTGTCGTCTGCATTTCAATTAAGTCAATTAGTTGCCTAATCATTTTATCAAAATTTAAATATGTTCATTTTGAAAAACCCAAATCCACACAGCTTGTCAGCATGTATCAGCTATTTGTCATAGAGTAAGAATTTGGACAGGGGATGATGAAGTGGGACTTGATTTTGGAGTCACAAGTAGCAGATGTTTAGTTCTACATTTTCAACGCTGAACTGAGTCCCACAGAATCTTACACAGACACACTCACTACTTAGCTAGACATAGACTTACCCAGCCAGACACTTTTCTCTTGGAAAGTCTTACTTTGATCACATTTATCTTCCTTCCGGTCAGCATGTTTATTTTTCCAGCCACCAGGTACCTTGTTTTAATAAACATTTGACTGCCAATATAGGACTATGAAAGAGCCCCTGCTCTCATGGTTTAAAGTATTTCTTTTTCATTTACTTATAAATATGTTTCAATGAATTTATCTTTTCTCTGAATCTCATCTTTTTTCCTGCAGTGCTCCCCAGGTTTAGCTATTATTGTAGGCGTAGCTGAACTCAGGCCTAAATCCAATTGTGTGGAACCCGTTGGGTATCCTGTGAACAGAGGGCTGTTATTTTTTATTATATAAGTGCTGTCATTTTATTATTGCAACACTAACTAAAGGAATCCCATGTTCAGGACGGCCTCCGGAATATTGAAGCGTAAGTGGACAGGTCTGAGACCTGAGATTGTTCTCCAAAATTAGGGCCTTCAGAACACAAGCAGAGGGGCTGGGGATATAGCTCAGTGGCATAAGGGCCTGCCTGGCAAGTGCAAGGTCATGAGTTCGGTCCCCAGTACCACACACACAAAGAAGAACACAAGCAGAAATAAATGAATGATCAGAGAGAGTAAAGATGCGTAATTTTTGTACGAGTGCTGGTAACAACAACCAAAACCACAACAAAATATACCTCAAACATGCTTAAAAATAAAGCTTGGAGCTGGGCATGGTAATGCATGCCTATAAACCCAGCACTTGGGAAGCTGAGGCAGAAGGATCACTGTGAGTTCAAGAACAGTGTAGACTACACAGCAAGAACTTGTCTCAACATACATATGTACATACATACATACATATTTAAAAAGAAATAAACAGGCTCCTGTGCTTGGAGGTGGAACCAAAAGAGTGGGTTTGGGGATTGATTGAGCCCAGCGGCTCTGGTCCATTTCCCTGCCTTTCTCTCAACTCTGTTTTACCCCCAGGGCTGAGGAAGTGGGTCAAGTCTCATACCCTTACTTAATAACATCAAAGAACCTTCCAGAACTCTCCAGCAACTTCTCATAGTTCATTGGCCTAGAGTGGATCATACACTTATTGTTAAACTAGTTAATGCAAAGTAGCAAGTTTACTTATTTCTAGAATTAGAGTGAGGCCCTCTCTCTCTCTCTCTCTGGGAGCAAGCTTTCTCAAAGTCAACATTCTTGGCACTATGGGCCATACAATTCTGTTGTCGCAGGCTGGCATGTATGTCTTGTGGGGTGTTTTTCAGCACCCTTCACCCTTCCTCACTAGATTCGCATACTACTCCTTGTCCTGTGACAGCCACAAGTATCTCCAGACACTGCCAGATGTCTCCTGGGGGAAAAACTGCCCCTTCCTTCTCTCTGCGTAAGAATCACTGACTTACACACACCAGCTGCCAGACACAAGTGAGAGTATCTGAACAAACACTAGCGCACTTAGAAAGTGGGGAACATGGTGGTCTCTGCAAAGGGCTTTGAAATCAGGAGCCTTTGTAAAGCAGAGAAGCTGCACTGGCTCCGCCTCTGCTCAGGGCCCCCCTGGCTGCTTTACAGCACAGCAAAGAAATGGGAAGGGAAAACAGCCATGTACAGAGAGTCACAAGCAAGACAGGAAGCCAAAAAGACGCTTTCTTGGGAACAAGTGGGAGTCCTATGAGCACCACATCAGCCCTTCGCAAGGGCTGAACCACACGACCTCAGGACCTTGTACTGTGACGGCTGCTTCAGCATCACACTTGGACCAACGTTCCAGTACAGGAAACTTTGAGGAATACACTCCAACCTCACGCGGAGCACATCTTTCCCTGGACAGAGCCATTACTGCGCCAGCCTCTTAAACCAGCAGCAGAGTCTGGAAGCGGGTCCTTGTCCTGGTTCTCTCTTCTGTTTCAAAATTTGATTTTTCTTGCCCAGTTTTTTCTTCCAGAGGAATGTTACTTTTACATCTTTGTGCAAAGATTAACGGTTTTCTTCACTTCCACCTCAACTTTGGAAACAAAACATCAGACTCTTTGGGTAGGTAGTCAAATGGCACAAAAATAAATTTTCACGGCAGCTGGTTTGTGTCATTTCTGACTCACTCTTCAACTTCCAACTGCCTAAATCTTCACAGACAGAAGGGGGCAGGACAGCTACAACTCCGAAGTTCCTGACAGAGCAAACATGCTCAGTATAAAATGAATTTCTTTCTCCTAACTTAGGACACAGCATAAAAATCAAGCGTGCCACATACCCTGTTCTCTTAGAGAAGCAGGCAGATGGTAAGGGGCTCATGTGCAGAGAGAAACATCCCAAAACAAGTTTCCTCATTTGGATGAGATCATGCATAATCTTGGGTCTACTATTTCCAGCCGGAACGTCTTTATCTGTCCTATAAACTTATAGTTTGTGTTTAATTCTGCTTTCTAAATAGTCTACAGTTAAAAGTATAAATATACATAATGATTAACATACAGGGTGAATGTTTACAGTTTTAAAAATTATTACAATGAAAGACACATCGCCATTAATCTCCCTCAGAATTTGCTTCCAATACGCTTATTCCTTCGTTCTTGCCACTGTCTGAAGCAGTTCTGAAAGTCTTCTTTTGAAATTTTATTAGTGCCCATTAGCAGTACATGGTGATTATATTGATCGTGCAGATTTGGCACATGTACGTAACACTGCTTAATTCTTTTCACTTCCCCTCTCCTTCCCTCTCCTCCCATTTCCATGAGTGTCTTTATGAGGCGTGATTAAAAAGGAATATAATAGATACCGCTGCTAAGTGCCGTTCTATGGAAAGGCAGGCTCAGAAAAAGCACTACGGTGTGTCCTCATCTACTTCAGCAGATAGGGCACCATGCAACTTCTGGGTCTCCCCCAAAGTCAAAATGACCACGAATGATCAACATTTTGATCCCAGTCAGAACATCAAGGCAGCCACCACAGCACAATAAGGACACAAAAGAGAACTTCCAGGACTGCCTCAGAAAATGGCAAGACCAACAGGACAAGTGTGTCCAAAGCAAGGAGAAGTCTTGGGGAGCAGTATATCTTTTACTGCAATAAATGTAAAAGGGAAAAAAAGTTTACATTCACCATATTTTTATATCATACGTCCTATGACCATGATCATACTTGAGATTTAGGAGAAAAAGCTTTGATTTTTACATTCTTTAAAGGCCTTGACACAAGCAAAATTATCACAGGCTATCTGATCTCACACTTAACTTGTATGTAAGTAAGTCCGCAGAGTTAACCTATTTTTATGTGTGGCAGTGTATTGCACATGAAAGTTCTGTTTTTGTGTCCTTCATAGAACCCATGGTGCTGCAGTAGTTCCAAAATGAGCAGGGCCTGAGACTGCACCAAAGCAGAGGATCCTTTACTAGGAGCCTGAGAAGAGTAGGAAATCAGCAATTCATCACGGTCTCAGCAGACCTATTCTATATAGCTGACCTTTTTCTTTTTGATGAAGTTTTCGCCTAACAAAACAGTGGCTGTTTTTTTCTCTTGTTTTTTCATTTTTGTGTTTTGTTTTTCTTTTGACTGCACACACATGCGCGTGCACACACACACACACCATAAGCTCCCATGAACCATTGCAACTTCCTGCTACAACCAAATTCAGGAATTTTCCTGTGCACACTTTGACCTATCCCAGTCTCAGGAACACCAAAAGGCTAAAAATTCTGAAGTTTTTTTATATTAGCATCGTTCTTTATTATTTCCACATTTTAAAAACATGTAAGTACATTTTAAACAAGCTTAAACTTGAAAGAAGAAAAATGAAAAGATATTTACAGAAATGTGAAAGACACAGTATTCCCTAGCAGTTAGACCAAGACGGGGGTTACAGTGGGACTCCCTGCAATGAACTAGACAAAAGTCAGGTGCAGACAGCCCTACCCCACCAGGGTACCACTGGCAAGCAGAAGCGTCCAACCTCAACAGCAAAAGTTGTACTTCCTTTTTTAATAATATGACTTTATCCAAGTGGACACGGAAATGAACCTCAACCTCCTTTATAACCTTCTGGAAAGATTTTCAGGCACTACACAAAAGGAACATATTTGCTGCCCAGTATTCAACTTTTGAAGGAAATTTTCTGTGTTTTTTTTTTAATTAAGATACACGATGCATACACACAATAGAATACTAGTCGCCTTTTAAAAGAAGACACTAATCTGAAAGGCACAAAAGATATTGTGAAAGGGAAATACACTGTTCCAAAGGGAAGAACAACTGGGATGGGGGAAAGGAGAGAAAGAAGGAAAAAAGAAAGAAAGAAAGAAAGAAAGAAAGAAAGAAAGAAAGAAAGAATATGTATACACAAGATAGCTAAGATACTCATTTCTATGGATTTATTGAAGGAAGAGTTAATGCCTAATTGTTTGATCAATTTGCATGCCTGCATTTGGTAATCAGAACAACCACTGTGAAGATAACAATATGCAATAGAACAACCATTGTTAATTTCCTATCATCTTGTTTTGAAATTCTGTGTCATTTTTATTGTTTTTTTATTCTCTTTAAAAATAAAAAATAAAAGAAGACATTGTCATTTATGACAAGATGTACGGGGATGAACCTGGGGGACATTCTGGTAATGATGTAAATCAGACTCAAAGAAAATTACTTCACAACCTCCCTTTTATGTGGAATCTTTTTTTAATGTTGAATAACAGAAATAGTGAGTAGAATAGTGGTTACTGCAGCAAGATGAGGCTAAGGAGATGTGGGTCAAAGGAAACGAACTCGCAATTGCATTGCATAAATGAATCTAGATTTCATGTACAGTAAGGGGACTACAGTTGGTGATATTGTATTCTATATTAACTTTTTTCTAAGAGAATAGATTTTAGGTTCTCTTACAATTTTCAAAAAACCCAACCAGGGAAGTTGATGGATATGTTAATTTACTTTCCTGAGAGATTATTTCACTTTGTGTACATATATCAGAACATGTACATCCTAAACATATACCATAAAAATATTTTCAAAGAAGATAAGTTGTAATAGAGGACAGTACATTAATCACTATCCACTATGCTAATGAATGGGTGAGCTATCATATTATCATCTCTAAAACAGTATCTTGGAAACAATCCAAATGTCCATCAACTGAGGAATGGATAAAAAAGATGTGATATTTTTATACAATAGAGTATTACTCAGCTATACAGAAAGATAAGTTAGAGGCTTTTATAGATAAGTGGATGCAACTAGGAACCATACTCATAAGTGAAATAAATCAGACTCACATGTGTAAGCATCGTATTGTCTCCCTAGTGTAAGAATCTGAAAGAATAAATAAAATCTGAAAGGTACAGTGGATACTGTGAAAGGGAAAGAAACTTCTCAAAAGGAAAGAACAATGGGATGGGGGAAAATAAAAAAAGAAGGAAGGGAAAAAAATATATGTATACACACACACACACAAGATAGCTAAGATAATTGTACTACTAATTTCTAAATTTCTATTGGTTTATTGAAGGGAACAGTTAATGTGCAATTGTTTGATCAGTCTTATGTGCCTGTATCTAGTTATCTGAGTAACCACTTAGAAGGTAACAATATGTAATGTAACAACCATTGTTAATTTCCTATCATCTTGTTTTGAAATTCTGTATCATTTTTATTGTTTTTATATTATTTTATGTCTTTGTTTTTTTGTTTTTGTTCTTTTCTCTTTAAAATTAAAAAAATAATACCACCTCATAGGTTGCTAAAAAGTTAAAATATCTCATGAAAAAATCCCTAAGTGTCTTGCACAGTAAGAGGTCAGTAAAGATCAAAGAAGTAGCAGCAGCAGCAGCAGTAATAATAATACAAGCATTAAGGTAGCAGCAGGACCTGTGGTGGTGAAGGCAGTGGTACTTGTAGTCACGAGTACAAATGAGCGTCCAAGGCCACTGGATCTGTCTCCCATTACTAGCCAACAGCAAAGCTGTATGGTAATGGTGACCAAATTTGTCATAGGTAAAAAACACAATCAAACTGTGCAAAACATTGTCACATGACATTTACTGTGTTCAAAAGATTTGCTCTTTCATATTTAAGAATCCCAGGCCGGGGAGGTAGCTCAGTAGCACAAGTGCCTGCCTGGCAAGTGCAAGGTCCTGAGTTCAATTCCCGGTACCAAAAAAAAGAATTCCAAGGTGGCCTGTTTCTTTGCCTTGAGCTTGGATGAAAAGTACGGATGGATTTTGATACCATTGTGCATAGTTATGGATTGGCCCAAGGAAGGTCAAGGATCTAATTTCACTAAATAATACATATATGAAGCTCGGTGACAATGTCAGAGAATGCACGTTGTAAAGGCCAAAGTCTGCATCCTAACGCCTTGGGAGCAGCCTCACATGCCAAGACTGCTGCATTAGCCAAAGCTTTGATGTCCATCTTAACTCAGCTAAGCCACCAAAGGAAAAAAGAAAATGAGTTGCAAAGCCATTGGATTTGTCTTTCATTCCTAACCAAAGGTTTTAACTTAGCATAAAATTATTTTTGCTCTGAGAGGAAATGAATGGGTATATAAAGAGATATAATAATAATAACAACAACAACAATAGCATCAATAATAATAGAGCCCACAAAGTGAGCTTGCAAAACTGCTCCCCAATGGAAATGCAGTTTAAATGCTGGATAAAGAAAGTTGATTGGGACAACTAGGCATTCTTTTGAGGATTTTGGTTCTTTTACACATGTTACACACTGTAGTTTTTATGTAAATTATAATGAACTATATTTTTAGTAAAGACAGTGAAATATGTTTATAGTGAAGATATTTTAGAAGATCCTCAGTTAAGTTTTGTCCCTGAAAATATACCTGCCTGCACTAGTATAAGAGACTGGAGCAGGCTGGGGATACAGCTCAGTGGTGTAAGCGCCTGCCTGGCAAGTGCGAAGTCATGAGTTCAGTCCCCGGTACTGCCAAAAAAAAAAAGAGAGAGAGACTGGAGCGGCAGGCTAGGGATGTAGCTCAATGGTAGAGTGCTCGCCTAGCTCACAGGAGGTCCTGGGTTCCATCCCCAGCAGGTGGTAGGGTGCGGAAGTACACAGAGAGACAAGAAACAGAGAAAAGAAAGTAGCCAGTTTCCCACAGACTCGCCCTGTCACATGACACCAGCAATCTCACCTCTCAGAAGGAGGAATTGGTGGATATTCCCATAGCCTGACAACATTCATATCCTTGGCAAAGTTCAGAAGGCAGTGAAAAAATGTTCTCATGAAAATCTGAGGATGAGCATGGCTCTTGCAGATATTGTGGCACAAGTCACAGTCAGCGAAACTGCCTGGGTGTCTGCATATTTGTGGTTTCTGCTGTTCAGTTTGTGTTCGGATGGGCTTGTTCTCAGAAACTGATGTGATACACTCAGAAATGGACGTGATTCTCAGAAACGTAATGTGATACGCTGTGTGTCTTCCCGATAGCCATTCAGAAGTCTGGCAGATGTTTTTCTCCGAGGCCTGTAGTAGTGTGGCTCCAGAGACATCTGCAGACTCTCAGACCATAAGTTCCGTCTTCCTGCTACTAAGCACACTGTACATCACTGGAAATGTTGAAGGAGTATCTTTTCCTTTTTTGAATTTCTGGGGATTAAATCCAGGACCTTTACACTGAGCTGTATCCTCAGCCCTCTATTATTCTTTTTTTAAATTTGAGACAGGGTCTTACTAAGTTCCTACATTGCCCAAGTTGGGTTTGAACTTGCAATCCTCCTGCCTCAGGCTCCTAGACTGGGGGGGGAGGTGGTTGCAGGGGTGTACCACCACACCTGGCAAGGGGCACAGTCTTGGTATCTGGTTTTCTCTCATCATCAACAACCAGCTGACAGTAGATATGCCTAGATATCCCTCAGAATAACTCAGCTTCCTCCGTACCCTTAGTTCATGTTGTGATCATTTATTGCTGCAGTGAGTTCAGTATTTCTTCCTTATCTGGGCTTCCTGCCTCTAGTTAGGGTACTGCTAAGTGGTATAAAAAATAAACCTCCAAATTTCTATGACTTAATAATAGAAGTTTATTTCTGGTCTTTCTGTTCAGTGGTGACCTTTTCCACAGCAACTCTAGACCCAGGCCCCTTTATTCTTCTGATTCTACAATACTGTGTTATGGTTCATACATTGTGTCAACTTGGAGAGTCTAGAGGTTTGGCTAAGTGACTCAGCAGGAAGCCAGGGTGCTTACTTTGTATACATCCTGAGCCTGTGGAAGAGGAGGGCATGGAGATTATGTGAGAGCTACACGCCCCTTAGGTGGGGGTAGCCTGTTTACAATGTAAGGGAGGGAAAGAGGCTGCTTGCCCCCATTCCTCCCTTTTGCTCTGGCTGCTTTGCTGTTCGGCTGCTGTTCCCCCTTGCTCTTGTTGCTTTGTTATCTTCTGCCTCGGAGCCAGCCAAATATGGACTGAAACCTCCACAAACTGTAAGCTAAATAAACCTTTCCTTCCTTAATTTAGGGCCTTGGGTAATTTGTCTCAGCAACGAGAGAAAAGTAACCAAGACATACTGTCAGGCAGGAATCAGCTTATTTTTCTGTAAAGAGTTAAGTCGTAATTATGTGAGACTCTTTGGGCCATGTAGTCTAAGTTACAACTACTTGAACTGTGCCATTTTAGCACAAAAGCAGCCATATTTGTACCCAAATAAGCGTGGTCGTGTTTCAGTTTGAATCACATATAATTTTTACCTGCCATGAAATAGTCTTCTTTTTAGTATTTTCCCCAAACTTCTAAAATCTTGGTTTAAGGGCTGTAGAAAAACAAGTAGCAGGCTAGATTTGGTGCCTTCTGTATTAGGGTAAGGAAAAAATCGAATTTCAAATACTGCGGTCTCATGATTTGAGCTGGTTAGAGTTGTGTTGTTTTGTTTTAGCAGCTAGACAGTCCATGTTTGACTATGTTTTTTTTTTTTCACAGGTTCTGGAAATATGGCGGTGTCCCATCCCATTGCAGCCAGCACGCCTGAAGGCAGCAATTATGGGGCAATAGGTATTTCCTACAAAAAGTCTGTTGGTGGAACCCCTTCTTCATTCTCCAGAGATTAGCATACAAAGGGCCTTCCAGCCACTCAGAACTATGAGGATGGACAAGCCTGTCACCTTCTGAACTTGTCTTTCCTCTATTTTATTTGTCTGTTTGTTTGTTTGTTTCGTGGTTTTTGTGGGTACTAGAAATCAAACTCAGGACCTCAGACTTGCTAGCCAGGCACTGCACCGTGAGCTATATACCCGGCCCCCACATCTTTCATTTATAAGATGAATTGGTTGGGTAATCTGGAAAATTCCTTTCATCTCTAACTTTCTGCAGTTCTGTTTCTTGATCTGCTACCCACACTTGAGCAGAATTCCTTACAGTGGCCACTACCAAGGTCGTCTGGGGGCTTTTGCATACCCTACCTCAGTACAGGGCATAACAGATGTGTCCCAGGGAGCCTGACATCCATTGACCAGCTGTTTTATTCTCAGGTTTCTGTGGAGTAAGGGCGGTCAGAAGACTAAGGCAGTGCTGCAGGTGAACATGGCTATTGCCTAACAGTCCTTCTTAGCTAACTGCACAGTTGAGCCTGCTCACTGCCACCCAGTCATTCACATGGAAACCCAGTGTGCATTAATCAGCCTGCAAAGAACAAAGTTCCTATACCAGTTTGCTTAGGGTAGGAGTGCATTGAGCTGCCTTGCTCCTCCCATGATCCTTTGGGCCTGTCAATGGTGCTCCTCAAAACATCATTATGGAAGGATCGGGAATCCTGTATTCCTGGACTCTTGTTCTCTATCTTTGAGCATGTGGGCTCAGTGTAGGCTGCTTATTTTTAGTTCTCTAAGAACAGGATTTTTACAAACCATCTGAGCAGATGAAATAAAGCGGAAGATAGGCTCAGCTCATGTGCTCAAGCTGCACAAATCCCATCTGCTCTGGGAAACATTCATGGGAACAGAAGAGTCCTTCTTCCTGAGAATGTTGTTTTCATTATATAATCATAGATATGGCATGTGAGAGATTTCTGTGTATAAATACTTTATCCATGAGAAATGTATAGCTGAGTATGTGTGTGCTTACACATATATGTGATAGATGCTATACATAACTATGTGCATGTGTATATTTATATATTTGTGTTCATATTTTAAAATATGAGACATGAAATATAAGTTCAATGCTATTTTTGTATCCAAATATTTAACAGAACAGATGTCTTTACAGTCTATTATGCATTCAAAGATAGACAAGTTAAATGTAAAAATAGGAGAAGAGGAAAAAATGCAAGTCCATGAAGAAGGTATGAGAGAAAGTGCATGTCTTGTGTAAGGACTTAGCTCTGACTGAAGTGGTATTTTCTACAGTGAGTCAGCATCATGCTCTTTGCAGGGGAATGGGCTCCATGGACTGTTCTTGGCTTTTAAAAACCAAGAGTTCTGTCTTTCAGATGAGTCAAGCTCTAGCCCTGGAAGGCAGATGTCCTCCGACGGTGGGCAGCCGTGCCAGTCAGACACAGACAGCTCTGTGGAGGAGAGTGACTTTGACACCATGCCAGATATTGAGAGTGACAAAAACGTCATCCGGACTAAGGTAGTTCCCTCCGCATGGTCACACTCATTAAGAGGGCAGAAAGTCTGACAGTAAAATGAACTTCACCAGTTCCTCGGTTTCCTTTGTATTTTTCCCTTCAGAGGGGGTCAAATTCCCTGTTGTGTTTAGACAAAAACAAACCACAGACTAGAGGCAATACTCTATTCATTAGTGCCTTTTATTTGAGAAAAAAGTGAGAAATTAAAGATGCCAAAGCAGTATAAATGCTCTCGGAATCTGAAACAGGTGAGTATGTGCAAAAAGGGATGAGGGGATCTAACCAGGTAAAACAAAAGACTCACTGGAGGAGTCTAATCACAAACACCCCCCCATTTCTGTACAGTTCTCTTGGGGGTAAAGCTCATTTCTTTACGGCCTGTATTTATTATATTGTGTGGATCCCAGTAAAACATACGAAGATAAATTGCAGTTTCAACCTTCAGGAATAAGAACCACACAGTGAATAGGTCAGAAACCTGGCAAATCCGTACATGAGACGTAAGAAGCATTCAAACCTCCTAACAGGTTTCCCGCATCAGCCAATCGTCAATAATCAAAGGAAAATATTAAGATTTTTATTAAGGTACCTTGGGAAAAGGAAAATTAAAAGAAAAGTCTGACTGAATAATTGTGATCTCTGAGGAGGGGTTAAGATTCGTAAAGCTTTCCTTTGTGTCTTATGCAAGAAAAGCCAAGTGAGATTTTGTATTCTCTTTTTATTTGACATTCCAGATGTTCCTTTACCTGTCAGATCTGTCCAGGAAGGACCGGAGGATTGTCAGCAAAAAATATAAGATTTATTTTTGGTAAGTAGATGACCAGTAGCACCGTAGTCCCTTTAAATAAAATTAAATCTTTTGCGTTTTCTCTGTGGAAGCCACGGCCCCTGATATCACCAGGCTTTACTGCTAATGAGGTACCAGTACCAGGGAGGATGCTACCAGCTAAATAGACTCGGGACAGTCAGATTCATGGACTCAGCTTCCCGCCCAAGCTAAGGGCTGAGCTGACTGACAAGGGCGCCTTCTCCCCTCAGAAAACCCCGAGTTGACTGCTGTCCCCCTGTGACGGCCCTTTCAGGTCTTTTCTCCTGAAGCATGCCCTTTCGCTTGGACACAGATATTGAGGGAAGTCAGGGACAGGGGAGCCGTATGTCACTTTATAATGGACCATCATTTTGGAGCTGAGAGTTACCTAAGAGAGCTGCAGCCTCTGCATGGGATCCTCCATCGGTTATTTGCATTCTGATCACTTTTAATCTAACAACACCCCAAGGAGATGGGCTCTCAATAATAATGCTGTTAAACTAGAAGCAGCTATTACACATTTTACAAATGGTTGTACAGAGATAAAGAAAAAATTAATAATTGTGAGATGCTGGTGATTAGTCTTCAAGTATATTATTTCAATTAATATTTTCAGTGGTCTTTCCAAGCAAGTTGATAGTAACACAGGAGAGTTTTGTTTACTTCCTTTCCTCCCCTCTAATCAAGACATGATAGACACTAAATGCCCAAAGGCACGAGAAGGGAAAGAGATGACTGGTAAAGCAGGAGCCCATCACAGGTTCAGACCACTTTTGCAAGTTCATTATGGAATTATGGGATGGAAGCATTCTGTTAAAAAAAAAAAAAATACCTCAGCAGGCTAGGGATATAGCTCAGCCTCACAAGTGCCTGCCTGGAAAGCGCATGGTCCTGAGCTCGATTCTCAGTACCAAAAAAAAAAACCAGCAAAAATTGCACTGTTAATTGGGAAATAAATATTTCCGGTCCTTCATGTTTGCATAGGAACATCATCACCATTGCCGTGTTTTATGCACTGCCTGTGATCCAGCTGGTCATCACCTACCAGACGGTAAGTGCCCTCCTCAGCCCAGAGTCCTAGCTCCCATCCTTCATGGGAAAAGTACAACTTGCAATGCGTTCAAGAATTAATCTCCCACCTAGCACGGTCCTGCACGCCTGTAATCTCAGCACCTGGGAGGCTGAGGCAGGAGAATCGCCGTGAGTTCCAGGCCAGCCTCAGCTTCAAAATGAGTTCAAGGTCAGCCTGAACTGCACAGCGAGATCCTGTCTTAAAAAAAAAAAAAAGAATTAATTTTCCATTTGAGTTCCGAGTGTTCGTGCTTACCTGACCTTTCAATCTCTCCCCTCATTGTTTGATCACAAAGGGACCTGGCACTTCTTATATTGTTTGTCTACCGACCTGAAAATCTTTTCTTGCGCTCATTCAGTCATAGCGTGTGTCACAGTCAGCCTTTATTTACCAGTCTGAGCTCTCTCCTCCTCATGGAATAATGAGTAAAGTACCAGACCGAAGCAAAGAAATTTGATGTCTCAGTTAGCTTGCGTTTTTTCGTGGAGGTTAAACATTTTTAATACAATTAGAAATAGCTTCATGGGTGACTTGAGAGTGTAATTTAAAGCTGTAAATCTTTAGGGCGTAGGGTGGGGTGGGTAAGGGAACTTACTGGTGACAATAGACTCCTCCCAAAAGTCCCGTTCTGTGAAGGTGGCCGCACAGTTCTCTGTGGGAGCAGATCAGACTTCAGCACACCGCTCAGAAGCTGGCCACTGGCTTTTTATAATGTCGACGTTTGGGAAACTGTCCCACGTGGAGTACATAACGTCAGTCTGGAAAAGATTTCCTTACACTAATTCTTATGTATGTACCTATGTATTTATTTTTAGGAGAAAATCAGATAGGCTTACAGGTATTCTTGTTAGGAATACTTTCAATGAGCTTAACCCACTTGCCAAATATTCTTGTCCCTTTTGATCCTTTTTTTAACATGTACTTGCTTTTGATTTTTAAAATATCACTTTCTGCCCATCATTCATATAAAAATTGTTGACGTTAAAAAAGAAATAGCTTCGTGAAACTAACAACACATTAAAACAAAAAGAAAATATAAAATATGAACAAAAAATTAAAATCAAAGGTAGCATTAAAACAGCTTGAGAATCCCCACCACTCCTCCACAGAACCCTAGATCTCTCTATGTCTAAAATCTTTAGATTCTATGATACGTGAGAAAGCCCATTTAGAATGGCACAACTCTGAAGAGATTTTTAACACAGTGGCTTACAAACTTTGCTGTGCTTTAAATCACCTGGGACACTTATTCTAAAACTCCCAGTGTCCAGGTTGCACCCCGCACCAAGATGAGGGTCTCGGAGTGGAACCAGGCATCAGTATTATTCAAATCCCCCACTGATTCCAACACACAGCTAAGTTTGAGGGCTGCTACTCTAATAATATTTAGTCCATTCCATACATGTTCCCTAATGGAGACAAAGACTTTGAACACCACTATTTTTAATTTAAATATTTCCGGCATACTTTGATTCCCAAAGTCAGAAGATACAGCCATGCTGTGGTTTGGGCGGGTTCTTGGTACAGATGGTCGTAAATATAGAAAGTTGAATACGTAGCCCTTCATGTCTACCTGCTCAGGGGTTATCATTTCCACCCACAGGATGCAGCAGCTCCATGTCCCCCAGAATTCGTCTGGAGAATAAGACATAGCAAAGTAGACTTAAAAGGCAGTTCAGCATCCTTTCATAGTTCTTGTATGGTGACAAATGACTCATATTCCATTGAATTCCATCTTGAGGCCACCTCATGGGGTACACAGACTATTTCAATTCAAAGCAAGATGGTAGCATTTATGGGGAATAGGCCTATGCTGTATAAGTGACAGACCATCACCTACCCCTGCTGAGGAGGTGCACCCATTACATTGTAAACCGCTGATGGGGTTCACCGCCTGCTCTTTGTGAACTCAGGCAGGGTTTGAAGGATGGAGAAAAAACACATTTCCTCTTCTCCCACTTGATTTCACAGGTGGTAAATGTCACCGGCAACCAGGACATCTGCTACTACAACTTCCTCTGTGCTCACCCCTTGGGCGTCCTAAGGTAAACGCCATCCTCTGGTTGCTCATGAGACGTTTAAAGATTCCTTTGCATCTATTGTGATTTAAGCTTTTAAAAACAACTGTGGAAGGCTAGCCTAGTCAGGGTAAAGAGAATAAAACACCAAGACTGAGAGCAGATATGGTCCTTCCATTCCTGTAGGAGGGCCACAGATAAATTCCTAAGAGTCCCTGGCTGAGAAGTAGCTGGTGATGTTTTTGAAAACATTCGACCCCTCGCCGTGCTGGCATGTGTCCGTGGGCATGAGCTGGCAGCATGTCATCTCATTCAGTCTGTTAAACAACCTCGTGAGATGGATTCTTTTTACCGCCACTGTTAGACGTAGAGGGTTACACAGGTAAGCACTCTCTGAAAGCCCCTCAGCCTTCATTGTGGTCAGGGCTTGGCCCCAGCTCTGCAGCCGTCATGGCTGTCCTCTAGCCACCAGAACTGGGTGAAGTGGAAAGAGCGTTTGCCTGGGAGTTGGACACCTGGCTTCTTGCTCTGAAGCGGAAACAGCTTTGGTTTCCTAAATGAAGCTGCTCGCTGAGATGGGCCAACATTCATCCTGAAATTCCCAGTTCCCAATTAGAGAGCTGAAGGTTGATAGATGACGTGGGTCTCCCTGGGAGAATCCACTCACAGTGGAGCAGCTCTCTTTCCCAAGACTCATTCTGTGTCAGTGCCATCAGGACAAGAGAAGATGGGGCAGGTGTTAGGGATGCACAGCAGAGAAGAAAGAGACACGTTGGCATGAGATGAGGAAGCACCCCACAATGAAGGGCTTAGGTGGAGGAGGATTTCCGATGATTTCCCAGCCCTGAACTCACTCCCCTGTCTGTGTGTTCATTCACTCTCCGGACCCGCTTGATTGCTCGTGGCTTCTCACGCACGCCCCTAGTGCCTTCAACAATATTCTCAGTAACCTGGGCCATGTACTCCTGGGCTTCCTCTTCCTGCTGATCGTCTTGCGCCGGGACATTCTCCATCGAAGAGCCCTGGAAGCCAAGGACATCTTTGCTATGGTGAGGAGACAGTGTGCAAATCAAAGGCAGGAGCTGGAAAGGACCATGATTCCAGCGGGATCTGTAGGGGGAGGGACACCGTGGCTTGATGACACGATGATAGATTGTGTGTAATCTATCATCCACATGAGGCTAGATGCACAGGCTTGTAGATTCTGCGATCATGCAGTAACAAGTGTTTTTCTATTGACTGCCCTTTCTCCTTTTTCAGGAGTACGGGATCCCCAAACACTTTGGTCTCTTCTATGCTATGGGCATCGCGCTGATGATGGAAGGAGTGCTCAGTGCTTGTTACCATGTCTGCCCCAATTACTCCAATTTCCAATTCGGTAATTAGAATTTATATCAGCTACACAGATGTGAGTCACAGGAGTCTCATCCTGGGACATTTCCAAAAGTGCCAAGCTCATACTTGCAAGAAATCATAGGCGTGTGTGTGAACTAAGTGATCCGAGAGCGTCTTACCACAGAGCGTGGTTTCCACACTTTCTACCACTCTTCCTCCTGACCATCTTTCACACCAGAAAACACTCAGCGCTGCCTGATGATCCCCCGGTGAGATCGAAAAGCAAGCCATGGGCTAAGCAGGAAGCAGAAAGACAGACAGACTTCTGGAAAAGCCTTTGGGGTAGTTGGGTCTGCCTGAGCAGTTAGGCGGTCCTGGGGTCAAAGTAACAGAAAATCCGGTTTCAACTGGATTGAATAATGACATGTAGGGCTCACTGTCTGAAAGTCTGGAGCTAGAAAGGGCTGTGGCTGATTTATGTAGTGGTGCCTGCTCCATTTCTTTGGTTGTACTCAGCCTGCGTGTTAGTTTTATCCCGAGGCTGACTTCCCTTGTGGCAAAAGTAGCTATCATAGGTCCTGGCTTCATACGGCCACCCTCCCATTCCAAAGGATGTTTCAAAGTGGCTTCCAGGATCCTTCACGTAGTAGCAAGGAAACTTCTTTGTAAGAAACCCCCAGATAATGTCCCCTCATACAACAATAGCGTAAACAGCGATAAACACATTCCTCAGTCATTCCAAGGACTCATTAGGTATGAGGCCTTTCTTGCTACACCACTCAGCAAAGGAGGTGGGATTGTTATGGTGAGATTCAATGGGACAGGCACTCACAAGAGACCGAAAATGCAGGAATGAGCAAAGCTTTATTGAAGAACCAGCCAACGGACAGTCTCCGACAAGGAGCCAGAGATGTCTGCCGCAGTCTGGGGTGTGCTTCCGGTTTAAATACCTTTTTGGGTTTCCATAATAACCATACAACCACATTAGCTCATTTTCAGGAATTTAACAAGAATGTCACAGAACTGTCACAAGGTTTACATTTCTCGGAAGTGGCTGGTCAGGTGCTGGTCAGGCAAACCTAAGGTGGACATTGTGGTTTAACATTTAGCCCACTCCCCAGTTTGTTCTGTTTGTTCAGTTCCTATTTTATAGCTCTGTTTTCTTCAGTGAGTTTTATGACTAACCGGGGGGGAGGGAGTGAGGAGTGAGTTCGTTCACAGTTTTAAGTGAATTTAAGTGACTTCTCTTAAAATGGAGTTACAGAAAAGAAAAGTGGAGGCTCTCTTGCCCTATCAGGATTACCCTTCAACTAATTGCATCATCTCTGGAGCCCAAGGAAGGGCAGTGATAGCTTTCCTGAAGCCAGGGGTCTGGGATGGTGCTCATTTCTGAACTAAAAAATCCATGGATTCAGTATTGAGATGTTGTTAAGAAGGAAGAAGGGAAAAATGGAGCTGTTAGCCGATTGTCCTGTACACTCAAGGATAAACAGTTATTTAGTTAGTTAGTTAGCTAGTTGGGAGTTTTTTTGGTTTGGTTTGATTTGGTTTGGTTTGGGTTAGTTTTGAGACAGGGTCTCTCTGTGTAGTTCAGGCTGTCCCTGAATTCACTATATGGCTCAGGATGCCCTTGAGCTTGAGGGGATCCTCCTGCCTCAGCCTCCCAGTTGCTGGGATTACAGGCATGCACCACCGTGCCCTGTGGAAGATTTTTTTAAATTGTCATTTGTTATGTTTATTTTCTGGCCTCTGGCTGTTAGAATACCTCAGAAATTCTGTCACATTTAATCTTTAAAAATTAGAAAACATTTTTAGTAGATAAAACTACCAAGAGCATTATTCACCACTCAGAATGAAGAAATGTCACCACTTCTAAATATGTGCCTTAGACCTACTTTTTAAGAAATAAAACAGGATGGTAAAGTTGAACCATTCTGAACCAATTTCAAACTATTTCCCAAATTTAACTCCCTAAAACAACAATGATCAGTTTTGTATTTATCCTTCTAGTTTATAGTTATATTTTACTACATTTGTAGTAAATTAATATTAATTTATCACCTTGTTTTCTGAAAGCTTTTCTCATTTAACAGTGTTTTCAAGACTTATCACAACTGAATCAAGAACATGGAGTTCATTCATTTTTAACAATTGTCATATTCTATCACAAAATATTTATCAATTCCTCCACTGTACAACATTTAGCTGCTACTAATAGCACATGCAATACTGCAATGAATATGTATACATATATGCTTTCCAAATATATATATATATATATCCTTGTACTGATATGAAAGAGGGTCCCCAGGAAACCTAGACGCAGCATTTTCTTTCTTTCTTTTTTTTTGTCTTTTTGAGACGGGTTCTTCCTATGCAGTTCAGCTGGCTTTGAGCTCACTTTGTAGCTCAGGCTGGTCTCAAACTTGCAACAATCCTCCTGCCTCAACCTCCTTAATGCTGGGATTACAGGTGTGCACCACCACGCCCAGCCTAAAGCACAGTTTGCAAATCACCTGGTGTGTGTATTTTCCATATTGCCAAAAGCTAACAAATTCCTCTGCAGTGTTGATTCCTACTCCCACCAGTTGTGTTAGGGTTTCCGTTGCTCTCGCATTGTGGACTTTTATTATGACCAGACATTCAGGTGTCTTGCTGAGTTTTTGTGTAATGCAGGGCCTTACATTATTGTTTTGCTTTGCATTTCTATACTCCTCAGACACTTCCTTCATGTACATGATCGCCGGCCTCTGCATGCTGAAGCTCTATCAGACCCGGCACCCGGACATCAATGCCAGCGCCTACTCGGCCTACGCCTCCTTCGCCGTGGTCATCATGCTCACCGTCCTTGGAGTGGTGCGTCCCTTGCAGTCCTTCAACCTGGCTCTCGAAAAGCGCCCTCCTGGGAAGCTTTTTCTTGTTGGCTCATTGTTTTCTGGACGTCAGGTGCACGGGAATGGATGAGCCATCAGCTTTGCTCTGTGAGCCACTATCATCACGGGTCCCTTACGGCTCGGAGCACTCTTCCTTCCTTACTTAGCTGATGGCGTCTACTAATGTAATAGGTAACCATAAAGCCTCTCCTGGAGAGTTGTGGTACCAAGCTGTGGCCTGACACAGGTGAGGTTAGAGTACAGATGCCCACGCTGACTGGAGAGACCAGCTTGAAAGAACAGGAACCACTTTCCAAAGTGTGTGGGCAAAAGGTGATGCTTGTCTCCAGGTGTTCGTTCGTTTGTTGAGTGGTTTGGGGTTTGGGGGGCTGTTTGCTTGTTTGCTTTATTTTCTTTTGCAGTACTGGAGATTGAATTCAGGACTTCTGAACTGAGCTATAGCCCTACCCAACTTTTATTTTAAGATAGGGTCTCACTAAGCTGCCCAAGCTGTGAGCCTCCTGCCTCAGCCTCCCAGAGTGCTAGGCTCACAGACATGCACCACCACCCCTGGCAGGCTCCAGTTATTTGAGGACTGTTAGCCCCAACTTTAAACCTATGGCCACTTTATCCCTGTGGCTCGGCTGCCTCCCCTATTTCTTCTCGTCCCTGCTTTCATTTAGCCAGGTGGCCATTCTTTTCCTGCTCAGTGTCAGTAAGATCCCTGTGAGTGCCAGGAAGCGGGTGGGGGGTGAACCAAATGCACACATCGCTGTTTCACTCCTTATGCGTGCGAAAGAGACAGTGGTTTAGGGGAGTTCCCTGGTAAAACCCCAGATCAGAATGACCTCTCTCTCTACTCCTAGGTGTTTGGGAAAAACGATGTGTGGTTCTGGGTCATCTTCTCTGCAGTCCATATTCTGGCCTCCTTGGCCCTCAGCACCCAGATCTACTACATGGGTCGTTTCAAGATAGGTGAGTCACCTCTTACCTGCTGCAAACACCTGAGAAAGCAGGCGCTGCCTTCACACCTCCTAGATGAAAGTGTTGCTGGCCACCATGAATGCAGGCTCTGAAATCTGTGTCCTCTTTAATCTCCTCCCAGAGCTTCCTCTCCCTTATAGCACTGCAATAAGCTGCTAGCACTGGTTCTACTTTCACCTGGTAAACTCAGCCTCAGAGCTCCCAGTTGCCACCAAACTTTGAATGTACAATTTTAGAAGGATACATTTGTCATAGCACTAGTCTCACTCCTTTAGAGGAACATGTTTTCATGTGCAGCTTTTGAAAAGGAGCATCTCCTAACCGTGCTAAGTGGTTGTCAAGAATGAGTCCTATATTATTCCTAGGTTGTAGGGCTAGAGCTTTCTGAGACCACCTTGTCAGTCTTAGCAGCAGTTCACCTGCTGAACTATCTCAGACAGTGTGGACCAACCAGAGAGCAATGAGCGTTCTCCAGAAATCAGCTTCTGCTCATCGTACATTGGGGAAAGTTCAAGTGGTTTTAGAACATTTAAATTTTGAAAATCATTTTAAGGTCTAGGAAGTCAGACTTAAATATTCTTTTGTATATTTCAACACAAATAATGATATATGAACATAGCCCTACCCATAATATTTTCAGGGCCCCAGAAAGAATGCAAATAAAAGCCTACATACCATGTGTATGAAAATTTCAAAGTTATAAAGCAGACTAAAATCTATTAAATATGGGGGAGGAAGGAAAAGAAAGAAAGAAA